AAAATACTAGGCACTGACTGTGTTCCAGGATTGTTGCAAGCATGGGGAAGATGAAGCGGGCAAGACAAAGGCTGTTCCCGCCCTCACTACAAGGACACATGGCAGCAGTGCCCATCCAGGAGATCAGAGAAGACTTCCTGAAGCGAGTGGCATTCAAGCAACACCTGGAGGATGGATTAGCAGGTGAAGAGGAGGAAAAAAAAACATGGTCCAGGCAGCAGGCTCAGAAGGGGCAAAGAATATGCCATACCTGGGAAACTGAAAGAAGGGGAGGCAGAAGGTGAGAAATGAGAGGAGGGTAGGGATGTAATAAGGGAGGGCCATGTCATCCCTGTTAAGAATTTGGACTTTATTCTAAGGGCTATAGGAAGCCTCAACTATTGCCCAGACTTGCTAACGTCTCTGCGTCTACTTTTGCCCCTGACTAACCCATGCTCCATTTTGCAGCCAAAGTGACCTTAAAATTTAAGTCACATCATATCACTCTTTTGCTTAAAAGCTTCTGGCATCTTTCTATTATCCAATGGGCTAAATCCCAAACTCCTTAAGAAGCTTACAAGACCCCACATGACCTGCCCACAGCACCGTAACCAAGCTCCAGCCTGATGTGACTTCTTCAGTTTCTCTCAGTTAGATGCTTTGTTGTCTCTGGACCACTAAACAAGCTGTTCATTCTGCTTGGGACCTCTTCTCTCTCCTACTTATATTCTGGGCGTCACGTCTGCTGGGAAGTCTTCAGTGATCTCCCTGAAGTCCGTATTCAGTGTTCCTCCTATGAACTCTCATTTACACTCTGAACTTCCTCTCATATAACATTTAATATGTAGGACTACAGCAAGTCTGCTACAACTTGCTGTACAACTTGGGCAACTACTGCAACTCTGTAAGCTCCAGGAGCAAGCAAACTGTATTTTTTTTTTAAAGATTTTATTTTTTCCTTTTTCTCCCCAAAGCCCCCCAGTACACAGTTATATATTCTTTGTTGTGGGTCCTTCTAGTTGTGGCATGTGGGACGCTGCCTCAGCGTGGTTTGATGAGCAGTGCCATGTCCGCGCCCAGGATTCAAACCAACGAAACACTGGGCCGCCTGCAGTGGAGTGCGGGAACTTAACCACTCGGCCACGGGGCCAGCCCCTGTATTTTTTTTCTTTTTTTAAAGATTGGCACCTGGGCTAACAGCTGTTGCCAATCTTTTTTTTTTTTTTTTTCCTGCTTTATCTCCCCAAACCCCCCTGTACATAGTTGTATATCTTAGTTGCAGGTCCTTCTAGTTGTGGGATGTGGGACGCTGCCTCAACGTGGCCTGACGAGCAGTGCCATGTCCGCGCCCAGGATCCGAACCCTGGGCCGCTGCAGCGGAGCGCGCGAACTTAACCATTCGGCCACGGAACAGGCACCCCAAACTTTGTATTTTTTGATCATCTTCGTATCTCTAGCACACAATATAACCCTTATCACAATATAACCTTTATCAATATTTTTTTAATAAATCAATGAATGAAAAAATAAAATAGGGGATGTATTCATGTATTCTGCAATCACTTCTGACTTAAAAAAATGTCTGTGGTTCTTTTAGGTGCTGTCTGATGCAGGTGACTTAAGAACAGTTTAACAATTTACTTCTAAAAAGATAGCAGGAGTCAAATTTCCATTCTTTGAGTTCCCGATTCCGTTAAGTTGAGGTAAATACTGTACTGGATTTTTTCTCAGCTCTCAGGTTCTTAAATATCAACATGGAGATGAAAAGTATCTTTTCAGCTTTTCTTTAAATATGTTCAATCTCACTCATTTTCTGTACAAGAATTTTTTTCTCTCTCAGGAAATGACTTCTATATGGGGGGGAGGGGAGTCCCTAAATGAGCTATTCCCATTGGTTCAGTCCAATTCAACAGTTTAGCTAAAGTTTATTGAGAGCCCATAATGCACCAGGTTAGTCCTGGGGATGTAAATATGAATAAGATGCAGTCATTTGACCTCAAGAAGCTTACAGTCTAGAAAAAGACTCTTGAATAGATAACTTTAACATTTCACTTTCTCAACTTTTTCTGGTTCAGGGCATGCTACATTCTATAAATTTTAATTCAACAAATCTTCATCTACTGGTAAATCACGCACAAATAATTTACAGGTGACTCAAAGAGATGATCTTTGCCCTCAAGCAGCTTACAGTCTACGAGGTGACCAAATAATTCGTACAAACTGGCTGTTTCTGTCACGAGGGTAGAATAGGAGAGTTTCATGCAACACAGAAGGGTTAAGGGAGTAAGACCTCACATCCACTGGGGAGGGGTATAGAAGGAAGTGGGGACCCAGGAAAAAACCCAACTTTTCAGCAGAAGTGCCATTTGAAATGGGTCTTGAGGTCCTGATAGAATTGATGTAGGTACCTCACATAAGTGGACCCATATAGTATTTGTCTTTTGTGTCTGGCTTATTTCACTTAGCATAAGGGAAAGACAATTTTTATGTAGTTAAATTTGTTGCTTATGGGTTTTTAAAAAACAATGTAACAAAATAAAGAGGCCATTAAAACCTAGAAAAACGTGTCTGCAACATAGATGACAAACAAAGGTCAAATTCATAGAGACTGGTGGCTACCAGGGGCTGAGAGTGAGGTGGGCCGGATAGAGAGTTAGTGTTTAACGGGTACAGAGTTTCCGTTTGGGAAGATGAAAAAGTTCTGGAGATGGAGAATGTTGATGGTTGCACAACAATGTGAATGTACTTAAAACCACTGAACTGTACACTTAAACATGGTTAAAATGGTCAACTTCACGTTGTGTATATTTTAACTACAATAAAAAAATTAAGTGTTTCAAGGATTCTGGGGTTTGCACCTGCTTAGAAAAGACTTTCCATACCTCAAGATTATAGAGAAGACTCTTCATTCTTCTAGAAGAATTATTTATGAATATGGAGTTGGTAGGAGATGCAACTCTTGGATAGGTATTTGAGGTAAAGAAAAGAGGTCTTCTGCCACAGTCAGCGAAGAGGTGATAAGGACCCGGAGCAAGGTGATGAAGCGGAAGGACCAGGTTCTTCCTACTGGGAAGGTAGAATGATAGGACCTGGCTTTCAACTGGATATATGCTTGATGCATGGTAGGCACTTGAATGGTTGTTGAATAAGGAAGGGGAAGAAGTAGTCAACGCAGAAAACCCCTGAGGGTTTTAACCCGGGCAGCATGCACAATAGTAATAATAACATGAATTAATATGACAGTCACTGAAGTAGGAAGATCAGGTTTGTGGGATAGGATTTGTTCTATCTTGGACATGCAAATATTTTTAGGTGCAGGTCAGCCATGTGAGTGAGTTCCAAGAAGCAGTCAAAAGGCAGGTGTGATGTAGAAAAAGAGTTAAGGGGCACAAATTTGGTTTAGAATTGAGCCAATCAAGATGTTGCTGAAGCCACGGGATTGTACAGGAGAGTATGAGTGTGAAGAGAGAATGTATAGAACCTTGGAGAATTTCAGCCTTTAAGAGGGATGAATAGGAAGGATAGCCAGAGAAGCAAATAATTTGAAGAGATGGCACTTGAAATGGGCTTGGAGAAAGGCTTTTGACAACGGTAGACTGGAGGGTGGGTAGTGTAGGAGGTGAAGGAAGGGTTCCAAGCAGAAATAACAGCATGAAGAAGAAATAGGGAGCAGGAAAGCACCCCACCAAAGAAGCCATTCAGCAACCAGATGTTAAATGAATTTGTTATGGAAGAATTGGAAGTTTCAAAGATAGGTCAGTCAACATCATTACAGCGAGAGGATGATGACCAAGAAAAAGCCATTTTCCTCAGGGTGACTGTGACTATTGATAGTTCGTTGCTTGTGTATGAGAAATTCTAAGAGCCTTTAATCTACTTTACTTAAACTCCGGGCAAAGATACCTGGTCTGTCATACCTGGTCTGAGATACTTCGGACTGTCTCATTTTTCTAAACTCTGTTCTAGATTTAGATTGGGTATTTGTTTTCTCTGTTGTGACACACCATTGTACTATGTCCACACCAGGTGGTTTTCAGGTCTATTTTCAACACTACTTTTTGTTTTTGCATTTGAAGTTTTTTTGGTTGCTTGGTTGTTTTAATGAGAAATTGGATGAGATCATGTTTCCGGGGAAAGGAGATAATGGTGGCGATGCCACTGTCCACAGCTCGAGTACCATAGTGTAGACACACGTTCCAAGAGGGTGGCAAGAAAACAATTTAAGTTAAGTTTGAGTTCAACTTACCTCAAAGACCCTACACCTGGTTTCAAAGATTCACAGTCTGGTTGATATCAAAAAGACACACAGGTTTTTTAACATAGGGTTAAAAAAAGTGACAAACAGCTTTCAAAAAAAATTCAGAGAACCATTTTTCATTAATCAGACTGGCAAAGACCTACAAAATTGGGTAACTGTTGGGGCAAGGGTGTGAGGTGGCAGGCACCGGCCTACACTGCTGTGGGAGAGTTCACTGCTATGACATCTTTAGAAGGCAACTGGCAATTTATCAAATGCACGTATCCTCTGACCCAGGATATCTGGACAAGACAATTCATTGCAGCATAATTTGTAGTGGCAAAAGATGGCAACAACCATATCTTCACTGTTGAATATTTTAGTCATTACTGCTTGATTATGCATAAAATTGCTTGGAACTATACATTAGAAACCTGTGACATTGGTGGCCTCTGGGATGGGACTGGGCTGAGGGGACAGGGCCAGGAGGGACATTACACCTACCTTTTGTACCTGATGAATATACAACCTCTCTCCACCCACCACTCCAACTGAAGCACAAAAGTTTCCTGGTGGTAGAGTCCACTAACAGTTTTCAACACACAGGAAATTTGAGATAAAGCTCAACCAAAGAGCCATTAGTTATGATGGGAATCATTCAGAGAAATTTAAGAGTCGAAGGCCATCCGTTCTTTCTCACCCACCATTTTTCTCCACACAGAACACAAGGCAAAAAGGAAGGGAAGCATGGGAGCCAGACAGCAAAGAAGTCATGAAGCCAAGAAACTTGTAGGACAGACACTTTATTGTGGTTTGCTTGTGGCAAAATAGTCAATCCTTCAACATGTACATTAGTTTGTTTTTTTGCTGGAGACCACAGCGTGATGCTCAAAGGCATTTAGCCTCATCTTACGTCAGTCTAATAAGTGGTTGCCTATTTTATAGTTCAACTAGTTAGAGGAAAAAGTCTGGAAAATCTGGTCTTAACATCCCAAATTAAGGGCTGCAAGATTTGCAACCCATTCATATAAAGTGCTTATGTTCAGTGCAAAAAGGGCAGACTCAGAAGGGCAAGCAGATGCCAGGGAATGACGTTTCCTGGAAGATAGATGCATTCCATGACTCAAAGAGGGAAAAGCCACTTGCCAAACTTCCCCCTGAAAGGACCTAGTATTCTCTTTGCAGCCTTTCCTCTCTCTAAAAGGACCAAAACCTTGAATCTGACAGACACCCATAATGGTTATTTATTTTACTATCAAAAAACCTGCTTCAGAGGGAAATCCACAGGGTTTCTAAGCACCAGAGATACTTCGGCTTCCAGTTCCTGTTTGTCTCAACAGTGAATGTGAGATCAGCAGGCTGAGCTCTGGCTGGGGGGAGGCTCAGAGCTGGAGAGCCTCTCTAGGCCTCCCATTTGCAAATCCAAGTCAGTGAGTATGACAGATGCTTTCTAAAACATCGTCACATCTCGGCGGGAAGACAAGCCAGTGCTTATGAAAGGAGCACTTCACCTAGTTTTCCACCAACTGCACAGGACCGATTCACTGTCCCCTCGTCCACCTTGTCCACAGGCCCACCTCCAAAGCGAACCCTTGACCCTCTGTTAAGACAAAGAAGCGCACTGCCTTCTCAGTGATGCTGGGTCTCTGCAGATCCCCCCTGCCATCCTGAAGAGACTGAAGCGGGAGAGAAGGACTGGTTCCTAACCAATTTAAGGGGCACAAATAGGACTGTAACTCAAATAGGCAAAGTCTAGCCATTCAGTCCTAGGATCCTACCATTCCTTTCCCGACTCTCTGAGAGGAGACTATGCTCTCTCACTCTGCAGCAGGGAGTCACAAAGGCCAGCTCTGTGCTTGTAAGTACCCCCTGCTTTCCTGCTTGGAAAGGCTCACCTTTCTCTCCCCGCTGCATGAATGTGACGGTGCCCCTCCTGCCCATGCGTGGGGCTCCAGACCTGACTACTTGTATGTACACCCCCTAGCTTTCAGATGCTGGCGCATGAGGACCCTTCTGTTCAGAGGGCCTTCCAAAGACTCACGGTAACTCCCTGTGCTTGTGAGAGGAGACACTCGGAACAGTTTTATTCCATAGGTAGCACATGCCCCAAAGCCATCTCTGAATTTGGGAAAGGAAAGGAAGGGAAAAGAGGCAATGCTTTTGGTGGTGCTGTACAATTCTCTGTAAAACCCTTCCAGTTAATGAGAAGCTGCTGGAGCATCTCCACATGGAAGGGACTGTGTACAAACAGGATGACCCGGGTTAAGAACCAAAACGCAGGGCAGGTTTCCAGAACGGCAGAAGTCTAAAGTAAAGTGCCTCTTTATAGTGGGGAGAGTTTCGTTTGTTCGGAAATGCTTGGGTGTAAACACGAGTGCACAGGAGTGTGCACACAGACTCACTCACTCTGAGGTAGAAAGAACTGGCCATCTCCAGACAAACACACACAGATTCCACAATTTTACAGAAACATGGCACTTGCGTGAAAGGTCCTGTCCTTGCCCAAGAAGGCAAGTAGGGTCCTATCCAGCTACTTCCGACCTATGTGCAGCCAGGGAAGTCCCACTGCACAGGAGGAAAGAGGTGGAGGGCCTCTCCATCACTCCTGTCCCCAGTTCTCAGGCCCTGCGGCCCAGGGTCACTTTCTGGAGCTTGGGCCATGGGCACCCCGGGTGTGGCTTGTCAGAAGCCACTGGGTGCAGATGTCTTGCACTACTGCATCCCCGCTACTCTTGGCAGCCTGCTGCACCTGCTGGACGAGGACTGTGGCCCGTGAGTGTTCTTGCTTCACAGCAATCAAGTAGGCGGAACGAAGTTTGCAACATGTCAGGTAGGCCTGAACCTGGCGATGGGGTAAAAGAGACAGTGGAAGGGAAACCATCACCGATGAATCACCAACAAACACCCAGAGCTACGTCAGAGAGCTCGGGCAGACGAGGTCTCTCTTCTCATTTCTTTTCTTTCTTTCTTTTTTTTTTGAGGAAGATTAGCCCTGAGCTAACTACTGCCAGGCCTCCTCATTTTTGCTGAGGAAGACTGGCCCTGAGCTAACATCCGTGCTCATCTTCCTCTACTTTCTATGTAGGACGCCTACCACAGCATGGTTTGCCACGCAGTGCCATGTCTGCACCCGGGATCCGAACTGGCCAACCCCAGGCTGCCGAGAAGCAGAACGTGAGAACTTAACTGCTGCGCCACTGGCTGGCCCTCTTCTCATTTCTCATCTGCCAAATTAATAATTAGGTTCCTGCCTTTTATTACATTATAGCAACTCTTTAAATATTCTGGATGCTAAGCTATTACACTATGTCATTTGATAGTGCAAAAAGTTATTATAAATAAGCTAAGAACTTCAAAAAGAAGAAAGTAGGCAGGGGGCAGTCTGGCCACCGTCCACGCCCTCCGAGGCCTTCCTCCCCACTATCCCAGGCTCTCCAGCTTCCTCCCAGCTTCAGAGTCAGCACTGTCATTGCCCACAACTTGTGATTTCATAGTTATTTGGGTAATTATTTGATTGATGTCTGTCTCCTTGACTAGACTTTAAGCTCCATGAAGGCAGGAAAGTTGTCTGCTTTTTCTACCCCTTGTATTCCTGGTGCCCAGCAGAGGGCCTGCCATGCAGTAGGTGTTCGATAAATATGGATTCAGGGAGTGAATGGATGAAGGATGCCCCCTACAATGGGCTCACAGATCCCCCTTCTCTATTTTTGTGTTTTCAACCTGCTGAATTTAAAATCTTTTAACAGGAAACTTGGGGAAGAAAATGCATACACACAATTAGAAAAGGTCTAACTCCAGGCTGCTTGACTTTTGCTGTTTGGATCCGAGGTGGCTCAGATTTGGGTGTGTGTGTGTGGGGTCTCTCCTACCTTGGGATACCCTCTGTCTCATGGATCCCCAGCTTGGTGGAGACGAGAGCCCCTTCCTTCCCTGGCCCTGATCTCCCCAGCACCTCCCTGGCTAGCCAGCGTTCCAGGCCAGCGGACAGCAGGGCCCTCACCAGCTGCCTCAGAGCTTCCACTAGCAGCTGACTTTCTGCCGTGACAGTCCTCCTGGTGGTTGGAGGGAACTCTTCCCACTTCCTGTCTCAGCGCTCAATCTTTTCTGTCTTGGTCACTAAAGCCTTCCGTTCCTAAGCTCAATTACAAGTACTCTCCGACAGCTGGAAGATGCCCGGCACTGTCTGAGCTCAGTAAAGTAATCAAGTTCTGATGTTAGCTCTCACCCAGGCCTTCTGCTCCACCTGGCACCTGTTTATTTTAAATATATATCATGGGGCCGGCCCCATGGCCGAGTGGTTGACTTCGCACGCTCCACTTCGGTGGCCCAAGGTTTCACCAGTTCAGATCCTGGGCGTGGACATGGGACCACTCATCAAGCCATGGTGAGGCGGCATCCCACATGCCACAACTAAAGATATACAACTATGTACCGGGAGGCTTTGAGGAGAAAAAGGAAAAATAAAACCTTTAAAAAAATAAAAAAGTATATATCACAAGGCAGGCAAAATTCTTTCCTGGAGAAGGAGGGCATTTTTCCAGAAAGTCTGGAATAGGAACTAAAGAAAGCTGGGTTTTGGCAAAATCTCGTGGCCTGAGATCACTTAAGTGCATTCAAATTGCTGCTGAGAGAAAAAACTTGAAAAAGCAGTTAACAACTGTCTAGATTTTAGTGTACGTCTTTCCCAGGGACAAAGCCTCTGTCCTGAGGCTCACTGAGGCTTGGAAAAGGACTGCAGTCTGGGAATCAGGGAACCTGGGTGTCTGGTCTGGTTACTGGGTTCTCATTCTGGTTCTAGAAAAGTAATTCTCCACATTTCAGAATTCCGAATTCTATCCTTTCTGTAAGATCTCATCGGGATGTTGCAGAAATAAATGAAGCAATATTTAGAATATGTTCTCCCACTTCTCTTAACTGAAAAACGGCCTGCAAATTCAGTCCAAGGGTTGGCAATCCTACCATGGGAAGCGGCTCCGTGGCTGTCTAAGAAGCTGTTTGCCTGACATTAGTTTTCTTCATAAGGGACTCGCTGCCAGACTGCTCCACTGCCGGTGGCCAGGGCAGTGTGACCTGTCTCTCCTGGCCTGTGAGCCTTCCTCCAGATGGCAGGTGGATCGAGCCTATGGTTAGCCACAAACAGGAGCAGCCAGGAGCAGCTTTCATTCTGGCTGGCACCCCTCACAAGACAACGTGCAGCAAAGATTCATGGATTTCCTACTACAAAGGGAAGAGCTCACTGGCCTCTGGGGGAGGCCTGCTCTGGAGAATGAGACACTAACGGACATTTGTGGGTCAAAGGGTTGGGGGGGGTTTTTTCTTACTGTGGAGGGTACCCTTTTCCTTTTAGGATAAAGAAACGCCTGCCCACTCTGACAACCTCAATCAATCAGTCAACCTGAAGCAAGGGATTTCCAAAGGGCTCTCTGAGAGAAGACCTGTACAGGAAATGAGATTCAAGAGCAGCCTAGGCCATGTTTGTCTTGAGGATAAAGAAATGGGGAGACTAAGGCTCATGCGGTCAATGTTCACAGGTTCCCTATCTACTTTCTCCTTTCTACACCCCTGTCTGGGTCCCAGCTCCACCTCTGGATAACAAAGAAGCTGAGATACAGGTTGTATGGAACTGCCAGGGGAGCAAGGGATAAAGATGACAAGGCAAGCCCAAGGTGCTGTTCATGGGCATCACTGGGATTTGGAGACAATTTTGCTCACCTTGTTGTCGTCGTTGTGTATTGCCTGGATCAGGCCCTCCAGCTCCTGTGCAGAAGAGAAACACAGCAGCCGTGAGAGGGAGAAGAGTCCCCAGCTTGGCACCCAAGGCCCAATACGGTCTCAGCTCAGCTGTTCTGACTTCAGGTGGGGATGCCTGCCCAACTTTTCTTTATGAACTCAACTCCTGCTATAAGAGCAACAAAGGAAATCTAACAACACTAAACTTGGGAATTTGAGCAGGAAGAACACCTCCCAAGAGGCCTGTCTTTGGCCTTTATGAATGGATATGGCTCTTTTCACCCCACAAAGAAGCCATAGGGGGACAATTTCAGAGGCAACATGCTTCAAAGGCCATGTGCAGGACCACCCTGACCTCCTCTACAGTCACAGAGAGGAACAGCTCTGTCGATCCACAGACACTTCCAGGTGCCAATAACATCAGACTATGGGATGTTGAGGGACACCTTCCAGGTATAGAGGTTATCACCATGAATTTTCTTTCCACAGCAGGATTGATTAGAGTGAGGCCATTGTTACGGAGAAGTCACAAAGATAAAGGAACACTGCAGTTTCAGGTAAACTATGGGGAACAGAAAAATAAAGAGGGGGATGTGAAGACCCTGAAATAGATGGAGGAGCCAAGAGGTATGGGAGCGAGCGCACCTGGGGTGGAATTCTCTTGAATGCTTCCAAGCAGTTGAGGAGGATGGTGTCCCCGTCACTTTTGGCTGCCATGCCTGACTCGCTGACGCACTTGAGCAGTTGTCGGATCTCACTGTATTTCTCCCTCTCCACCAACTGCCGGGCAGCTCTGCAGTAGGTCATGGCAGCGTCCAGCTGGAAATCCTAGAACGGAACATGCGGAGATGGGCTTAGGGTGGCATGCGACATCAGCAGCGGGAAGGCCGGCAACATTTAAAAAGCTCCCACTATGCTTGGTGCAGATAAGCCATATTGATTATAGTCATAACAGAAAATATACATATAAGAAACAAACAAACAAACAAAAAGCAAAAATTCTTCTCTGGAGTTAGGCAGACATTTAGGAAGCGTCCATAAAAATCATAATCTTAATACCTAAAAGGGAACATCTGCTGGCTGCTGTGTCACTTTCTGAAAACATTTGAATCAAATTCTCAGGACAAGTTTATTCTCTGTCTAATGAGTCACTTTTCTCTTGGGAAAGGGAAGTTGGGGGCTGGTATTTCTGCCCGGGACACTTGGCACTCTGTTAAGAGGTGTCTTAGTGTTTGGAAATAGACCATTCACCAAAAGACTGATTGGTTGGCATCTACCAGATAAACACTTTGAGCCCGGTCTGGGACAATCCTTGCTACAGGGTCTGGGAGGAGCTGTGGCTCTTCCTGCTCACCAGGAATATCCATGTGGGGAGAGCTTTGTCCAACATGGAAAATGGGTGGGAAGAAAGAAATCTGACCGATTGTTCAAGAAGCTATTGATCTCTGAGACACACACAATGCATTCAAGACCCCGCCTGCCCAGAGAGTGATGGTCCTTAGGGTGTTGGGGGGTGGTCTGGAGAGACTCTGCCACTTGTGGTTTCAGTGCCCCGTTCCAGCCTCTACTCCAGCCCCACAGACACACCTGTGTCCTCTTATCACAAGCAACAGAAAATGTACTCCTTGAGCCAGTTCCTGGACAGATGGAGAATGGAGGGGCAGCCCCTTGCTGCCAGTGGCCCCTCCTGATGCAAAGGAAACACCCCCTCTCTACTCCCAGCCACCTCCTCCAGCCCTGCGGGGGCGAACAGAGGGACACAGCTGTGGGGACCTGCCCTAGGCTGGGTTTCAGGTACTGATTCACTACCTTTTGATGAATTTATCATTGGTTACTGGCTTTTGGCAGAATAGCGTAGAGTCTTGAATTTGACCCAGTTCTGTAATAGCCATCTCCTTGATTTCACCCTTGATGTACATGTAAATCTGCTTTTCTTGGGATAAAGGTTTTCTGAAGGTTAATCTCCCCCAGAAGTGTGACCAGGTGCTGATCGCCTTCAGCATAATCTTGAGTCAGCCCAGTCATACCTGCAGAACACGGAATGCAATTCCAAAACCATCTTCTACATTTTTCCCTCCTAGCATGACCTGAAAAGGAGAGGAAAATAGGCTTACAGAAGCAATAATTACTGGAGCAGCCCCTCAGTCAAGAATGAGGGCCCCTATTTATTCAACAAATACTTGTTCAGACTCCACGAAGTGCCAGGCACCAGGGATACGAGTGTAATCAAAATGGACTTGATCTCCAGCCCTCCGTGGCTCACATTCTAGTGGGGATGCAGCCATGAAACAAAGAACTGAAATAATGACTAGATCACAATTGTGAGCGTCCGGAAGGAGAGGAACAGTCTGCCAGAGGTCTGAAACCTTGTCCGTACCTTGCAGGCAACATCCATTTTCATGTGGTTATTTCCAAACAGGGTTGGCAGAGGCAAGGTGGTGATCTGAGCAGTCCCTGCACTTTCACACCGATGTAAGAACCTGGTCACTTCCATCTGCAGCTGAAGTGTGTTCATGTGCCTGCGGTGACAGGAGATGCAGTCTAGCCTCCTGAGGGGCCTCAGGAGGGACTAGAGGCGAGTGACCGGGAAATCACAATAAGATGGCAATGGAAAAGGCAAAAGACATAATGTGGAGGAAAAGCGATCCAGAATAGGCTCTGAGCAGTTACGACAAGACAAAAATGGGTAGTCTAGTGGCGCCCTGTACAAATCACAATAGTTAGATGTTCTGTGGAGCTGGATGAGGTCCCGTGCCTGAATCAGTACGTATTTACAGAGCACCCGCGTGCTGCTAACAGTGACAGAGTTCAAGAGAGACATGAACCCTGCCCTCAAAGGGTTCACAGGCTTGGGGAGAGAGAAATCAGGAACAAACACATACAAAATATCTAGTGATTGGGCCCATGGAGACAATAAACAGTAGCGGTGGAGCATTTACTTGAGATGTTATGTTCTAAGCAGAGGGATTGGCAAGCCTAAAGGCTGAGAGGAGGGAAGGACTTGGTGTGTTGAGGAACCCCCAGGAGGCTGGTGTGACTGGTGCTCAGCAACGAAGTAGAGAGTAGCGTGAGATAAAGATGGAGATGCGGGCAGGGGCCAGATCATACAGGACCTCTTCTGCCTATTTTAAGGGGTTTCGAGTTTAGTCTGACCATAGCATGTGATTCCAATCCCCGCCCCCTTCTCCTCTCCTACAAGCTCCTCTAGACACTACCATCTAGGAATGATTCCTTTCAGTTGTGTTTTTTCTTTTTTCCCAAGAGTTCAGGGATGGGGAGAGTGGCTTCATCACCAACAGACAGACACTCAGTTCCAACCCTTCTGTTCCAACCCTAACTGTTCCCTGAACCCCAAGCTACCTTGACACATCAGCTGCAGTCATCTTCTTTCGGAAGAAGGTGGTTTTCTTCCTTCTAGTGCCGTGGGAGGTTTCTTGGAGGTAGATCTTCAGGTGATCCTTGGCCTTAAGCAGCCATGAGAGCTTCTCTCCCAGTTCCGTATACGTCTTTGCTTTGTGACTGAAGAACCGGATACAGGTCATGGCAGCCCGGACTTGGTCCTAGAAGAGGAAAATGAACATTCAGGTCAAAGCAGACAAGGGAAAGTGGAGGGTGAGAGTGTGAGGAGAATTCTGATCTGATTTCTGCCCATGGAGCCTGGTTGCCAGCACCCACTCCCATCATCATCTTTACAACAATTTTGTATCAGTTACTCCTAGGCCCAAGAGATCCTAAATTGAACTGACTGGCTGAGCTCTTAGGCAGGACATTATTCCACCACAGACGAGATCTTAAAAAAGGATACTTCAGGGGCTGGCTCTGTGGTGTAGTGGTTAAGTTCGGTGTGCTCTGCTTTGGGGGACTGGGTTTGCAGGTTCAGATCCCAGGTGCAGACCTATACCATTTGTCAGCCACGCTGTGGCAGTGACCCACATATAAAGTGGAGAAAGATTGGCAGAGATGTTAGCTCAGGGCTAATCTTCCTCAGCAAAAAAAAAAAAAAAAAAAAAAAAAGGATACTTCCGATTCTCCACTCAACTTGGCTTCACTCTTACTTTGACATCAAGTAATTCAATTTCTCTGATTTAGCAATAGCAACCCTCAGACATATTGGGAGAAACTTGTAACCTCTCCCTTCATGCACCTTCTCTAGAAACACTTCTCCATCATTCCTTATGAATTCTGCATTCATGCCTCATGCTTACCTTGAAACTGCCACATACCTCTTTTTTACTTTCACATTCCTTGAACTCTGAAGAACGCCGTTACTGATAAGATTAAAGTTTGCCTCTTTGGGATGAGGATAGAAATCCTAATATTATTTAATGATGCTAGAGAGCTACATGGATTTGCTCTAGGGTTGGTTAAATAGCAAGGCCAGGGACCAAATGGCAGCCTTGTCCCCTCATCTTGTGCAGACTCCTCGCGTGGCACCAACAGAGGCAGAAGGCAGGATGGCTGCTATTACCTTCATAAACTGCTGCAGCTCGTACAGAATGTGGTAGTAGTTCTTCTTCTGTAAATGCTGGCAGGCAGCAATCAAGTACTTTCCCCAGCTCTCCAAGGTAGGATCAATGGATTCCAACAAGTTTTCCAAGGTGTGTAGCTTCCCACTTTTATAGCTTGGCTGGAAAATGCCTTCTATGAAGACTTCTGGAGGACTCTCCTGGAGCAGAGCAAGCCAAAAAGTCAACAAGCCTGGTTCTGGCACTGTGTGGGATCCACTCTGAATTTCCTTCCACTCACCTGCCTTCAGCATCCTCCTATAGCAGTGCTTCCTAGCCTTTTGCATGTCACAGATACCTCTGAGAATCCCACTCTGGTGACTGCTCACTTCCCTCCTTCCCTGTGCAGAAAAGCTCCTTGACAGAGTTATCTACACTGCCCGTCTCCAGGTTCTCTCCTGTGATGGTCTCCTGAACCCACTCTTATTCAGCTTTTGTACCCACAACTCCTCTGAAACTGCCCCTTAGGTCACCAACGACCTCTAAATGGTTAAATCTAAAATTCTTAGTCCTTGTCTTCCATCTGATCTATCAACAGCTTTTGATACAGCTGATGGCTTCCTCTTCCTTGAAAAATTTTCTTTATTTGGCTTCCAGGACACCACCCTCTCCAGGTTTTCTTTCTATGTCTCTGGCTACTCCTTCTCAGTCTCCTTCTCTGACTCCTGTTAATGTCCCCAGGGCTTAGGAGGAAGCTGTTCTCTTTTCTATGTACACTCACTCTTTCGGTGATTTCATACAGAATCATGGCTTTAAGTCTATTTGCTGATTATTCCTAAATCCCTGTTTCCAGCCTGTTCATTCCTCCTGAACTCCAGATCTGTGGCTCCAGCTTCTATCCGGTTGCTTGCTCAAAGTCCTCTCGGGTATCTAGTAAACTTAATACACCAAGACTGCACTCCTATTGCTCCTTCCACATCTACTCTTTTGCAGTCTTCCCTTCCTCAGACGGCAATTTTGTTCTTCTAATTGTTCAGGCCAAAAACCTTGGTTATCTTTCCCTCACTTCCCCACATCAAATTCATTGGTAAATTCTATTGGCTCTACCATCAAAATACACACAGAATCTGCATGTATCTGACCACTTCTCACCACCTCCATGTGCGACACTGGCCCAACCCATCACCACCACTTGCCTGGATTACTAACAGCCTCCTCCCTGGTCTACATCTTCCACTCCTGCCTCTTTTTTCCCTAATGCCAACCAATCAACCTGAATGATCCCATTAAAACATAAGTCAGGGGCTGGCCCCGTGGCCGAGTGGTTAAGTTCGCGCACTCCGCTGCAGGCGGCCCAGCGTTTTGTCGGTTCGAATCCTGGGCGCGGACATGGCACTGCTCGTCAGACCACGCTGAGGCAGCGTCCCACATGCCACAACTAGAGGAACGCACAACGAAGAATACAAACTATGTACCGGGGGGCTTTGGGGAGAAAAAGGAAAAAATAAAATCTTTAAAAAAAAAAACAAAAAAAACCATAAGTCAGCATGTAACTCCTCCACTCGAAATGTTCCAATGGTTTTCATTCTCACTCAGCACAAAGGTTGGATCCTTGCAATGTCTACAAGGCCCTATATGACCCCTGGACCATCTGGCTTGTTACCTTTCTGACCTTAGCTACCACTACCCTGTCCCCTGCTCACTCTGCTGAAGCCACCCTCACCCTGCCACTTCTCCTCCCTCCACCTGTACCATGCATCCTCATGAACGCAGGGCTCTCTTCCGCCTCCTTCAGGCCTTGACTCAGAGGTCATCTTGCTGGGCATCTGTCTAAAACTGCACGATCCACCCCTCCCCCTTCCCTGCTTTACTCTTCTTGTTACTCATCACGTCCATTATGTTTATTTACCTTGTTTATTGCCTCTCTCTTCCTACTATAACGTAAGTTTTATGAAGGCAGATATTTCTGTCTGTTTTTTTTTCACTGCTATATCTCTAGTGCCCACAATATTCCTTGGCTATTTAAGAAATATTTCTTGGATGAATGAATAAATGATAAACATTATGGACCAACTCCTTAGGAAAGTGCCACGCGTACTAGTGCCCTTGCTCCACCTGTGGTTTGGAGACCCTGAGTCATAAACCCCCATCCCATAGCCATAGAAAGGAAAATCATTTGGGCATCAGACTATAGATTATGAGAAACTAATGGAGGAGAGAAAAGGATGGCTATAAACTCAGGGTAGTGTAACCATGCCAGCCTTGTAGCACTGGGCACAAGCTATTTAGAAGTAGAGAAGACGTGGGCTCTGAGAACATCCACAGTGGGTGAGGACTCCTTTCCCGATTCTCGCGGTTCCTGAGAAACACAGACCTAACCAAAAATCTGTAGGACAGACTTTAAGAAGCAGCAGGATCCATAAGAAAGGTGGAATGCCTCAAAAGAACAACAATTTCTCAAAAGAAAGTTCCTTAAGAACTTTCATTTCATCCATTCATCTATCCACTCATTCACTCATAACCGGCACTAGGCCAGGCATCTAAAGACACAGAAAAGGAAAATACAGGCCTTCTCGGTCCAGAAAAAAAGATATCACTGTAAACAAATAGCTGCAATCCAGGAGGATAAATGCAACAACAGCTATGTTCTACTACAATTGGGGTGTATAGGAGGAGGTCATTAATGTTGTTTGTGTGTTCTGCGAATGTTCAACAGAGAGGGTCTGAACGGATAAACAGCAGTTTTCCAAGAAAACAAGGAAAGGCAGGGCATTTTAGGTAGGGGAACGGTCCATGAAGACTTGTGGAGGGAAGAAAGCACATGGAACAATCAGGAAAACTTAAGTAATTAGGTAAGTCTGGAATGCAGGATATAGACAGGATTTGTGGTGAAACTAAACTAGAGAAATAAGGGGGCCTGATCCTGGTGGGTCCTGTATGCATGCTGAGGAATTGTGACTTCATCCTGTGGCCATGGGAATCTACTGAAGGCCTTTTAGAGGTGAACAACATGAATTATGAATGCCATAAATAACACGTATTATGTTTCAGAAAGCTCACTCTGGGGCAGTGTGGTAAGTAAAGGGGTGAAAGAGCTGGGAATAAGCCTAGCAAGGGAATACCATGTTTCAGGAAGTCAGTCATAGTTTTCACAATGTTTTCTTCTGTTGTTCCTTACCTGCTTGAGAATTAAGATGAGAGATTCAGTTCAAGGGTAACTGTGATTACAGGAGATAAAAAGAAGGCTTCTTTCCTAGCTCCGACAAATGTAAATAGGGGCAATGCTTTTCATCAGCTTATACCAAGATAAGTAAGTAAGCAGCTTAACTCTCTGGATGAGGCGTCAGTTAGAAGAAACAGAGCTGGGTGATTTCCACTCTCAATTTGTGCTTGGGAGAAGCAGCCTGACCTCAAAACTCACTTGGAAACCGAGGAAAAGGAAAAAACTTAACAATTAAATTCCAGATAATATAAGTTTTACATTATTTTTGAGACCCAGTTAGTAGCTAAGACCAGTGAGTAGCTAAGACCCAGTGAGTAACTAAGACACAGTAGCTAAGGCAGCTGTGAAAACATTTCTCTCTCACTGCCCTACAGGGGTGTGATTTCCACGACTCTGTGAACTGTTGACTTCCTGGGGAGCAATCCGAGAAGATAGCTATTTGTAAACTTTCACTGGCTGCCATTTTGAAATTAAAGTATACCTTGTGCTCCTTTAATTTTACAAGAAATTTGGTACGAATCAGCCAGTTCCTCAGGAGGTTTTCACGGAACATCGGGATAAAAGAGGTATTGCCAAAGGGTCATGGTGAAACAGAGTCCTGGCTTTGCTTAACAATAGCTCCACAGAAATAATGCACTTCAGTGGTGCCTCTGCCTCCCACGGAAGGAGGGCAGAGGATGTCAGAGAAAAGAAGGGAGCACACTCTTCCATTAGATATTCGAGGCCCAAATATAGGATCTGTGCCACGGGTGCTTCCTGGCCCTGGTGGTAACAAGCTGGAGTGGACGAGCAACGGGGTCAGCAGTGGGACACAGCCCTAGGGCAGGTGGGAGGTGTCTGGAAACAGAGAGAGGTAAAACAATTTGCACAAGGTCACACCACTTATATCAAGTATCTCATTCCAGACACCATGCTCTCAACTACTATTGGATTCTGTTCTATATTTTGGGAGAAGGGATGAAATTTGTCATTGCCAGTCAGAAGGGTAATTTGGGATCCAGGTTAAGACTGGTTGCACACTCATCAAATCATGACTGGCGTAGACAGAACTTTCCACTTTAACTTGACTCTGCCAGAGATGCTCTCGTAGCTCAACATTAGATTAAGTTTAAGGGGGGGTGATCACCGCCCTTAAAGTGGAGTGGGCCGACCTTGGTGGGGGAAGCAGGTCCTGCCCTTCGAGAGCTGTGTTTGCGTGCCCCACCTTGCTGAGGAGGTGCAGCAGGGCTTCCCGCAGGCAGCTGTGCCTCACATAGAAGCCGACGATGGCCAGGTTGGTGCTGTAGTTATGCAGGTAGAAGAGGCATTCTTGGTAGTAGGTGTTGTTCATGATCTTCCCTTCAGGAATCACCTCCAGAGAGAGGCTCTGGGTCCGAAGGGTAGCTTCCAGCTCTTTCAAGGTGGCAAAGTAATCATCATCTTGCTGACAGGAAAGGAGAAAGTATGAGGGAAACATGGGACTCAGTAAGTTCTCAGAAGCTTCTGAAAACATTGCTTTCAAAGAATATTTAACAATATGGCAAAATGCTCACAACACAGTTTTAAGGGTAGAAAAACAGATAGTATTATAGTATATGTAATTCATATTTAATTACTATTATATAGAATATATTACATATAAAATTCTATATATTATAATACTGTATAACACCAACTTCATTAAAAAACATAACAGAAAATTCACCAAAATCTAAATACTACTTAAGTCTGGGTATGGGATTATACATGATTTTTATTGTTTAAAAAATAGTTTTCTGTAGTTTGTCTTTTAAAAACTTTGACTCTGTATTGCTATTCTAACCATATATAGTTACTTATCTAACTATATGTAATGGAAAGAACAAAATCCAAACCTGGCAGCTCTGAGCCAGGACTGCCACTGTCGGCTGAGTGGAAGCTGATCCGTTCCCCAGGGCATTCCTGCTCTGGGCCTCCCACCCTGAGCTGTCCCCCGCCTGCTGTGCTCTTACCAAGGACAGGAGTGGCCTCGCTGTGGACTCCAGATACTCAACCACATCCTGTACCAGTCTTGAGCCCTGACTCAGCTGATTGAGGTCAAAAGGGGGCTTCAGACAGCGACTGAACTTCTCCCGTGCGGCAGCGAGGTTCCCAGCTTTGAGGCAGGCCATACCCCATGCGTGCCACGCCCCAGTGGTATCAAGCCCCGTCTTTGTGGAGACCTGGTGGAAGAATCTTTAGTGAGAGGGTACCTACAACAAGGCCTGAGAGTCCCAGGGGCCTATTCTATCCCCTTGTTGCCAATCATTCCTGCCCCCTTGCACCTGCCATTACTCCCACATGGGCAAACTGGTCATGCCCTGGATATTTCCCTATGGGCAAGAACAACTGACAGATGGCAATCCCTGTTTGCAAGGCTAGGCAAAGGCAATTCATTACAGTTGGGCAGAAGTAAGCTTTGTCTTTGCCTCACCTCAACGCCTAGTTGGTAGTACTCAGCTTCCAAAAGCTGGTTCCTTAACCTGGTTACTGCAGCCGGCTGTAAGATCTGATCCAGAGATGGCACATGGCGATAGGCAGCAGCAACTAAAATATTCAGAACATCTACCTTGCTGATGTAGCTGCAGGGAGGAAAAGGGCAAGGTAATGAGGCTCCACAGTCTTACCTAGAATAGTTGGTGCTTAAAGGTTTTCTATTTCATTTCCAACGTGAAATGTGATAATGAGAAGTGAGAGGTACACAGACACTATGAGAGAAGACTCTGGAGTCAGACTCTGAATACCAACTCCCAACTCCATCATTTAGCAGCTCTATGACCTTTGGCGGATTAGTTAACCTTTCTCTGCCTCCATTTACTCATCTGTAAAATGGACATAAAACAGGGAGTTTTCACGATAAAATGAAATAACTCAAGCCAAAGGTCTTAGGATAGTGTCTGGAACTTTGCAGGCACTCATCAAATGTTAGATATGAACACGCGGAGTAGGGATGCGCAGGTCTTCAATGAGAGGCCAGGCCTTTACATTGAATGTTGGAGACTCACAGGTTACCTATTTGCCTTTTGGTCCTTTTGAACCTTGCTTGCTTGAGAGAAGGCACAGAGACTATACTGATGGTTTGCACTCCTCCTCAATACAGAGGTCCCATCACTACCATTCCCTGGAGATGCTGCTGGGCAGGGGCATGCTGGCCCTTCACTCTGACCCTAGTCGCTTGGACTTGACATCCTCTCCCTGGGCTGAGAATGGGTTCTTGTCACAGCCCACTAGGTCTGCTGCCTTTGATCTTACTCCTGACACCTGAAGGTTGCAAAAACCTTACAATGACAGATGGCCCAGAGAGCTGGATCATTCTGTCTAGTGCTGCCTTCAACAGGCCTACGCTCCAGGTTCTTGAATCTTGTACCATAATTCCAGCAAAAACCCCCACGGATCCTGACTTGTCCACTGAAAGGGATTCAGTCCATCAGAGATTTTCAGCCGAGTGGGGATGGCGTAGGGGAGAGTATAGTAAGTATAAAAGCAAATTCCGTATCATAATGTACTTATACATTTGGAAAATGAAACATTTAAAATAGGTGGTGTAGTTTCATTTTTAAACATTCATTTAACATTCATTTAAACGTCTGTCAGAAGGAGGGATGAGCTACAAACAGGAGCAGAATACTCTGCAAACTAGGAGTTGTAAACACACATGCGAGCTGAATCCCTGCCCGTCAGCAAAGGGGCACAAAGGCAGTGTCTCTGGAGTGGGTCTGTCTGAGTCTAGGCTGGGGGAGACGGAAAGCGTAACTTGAAACCATTGCTGTAAACTGTCAGAGAAGCCCACGGCACCCTGGGGTGGGCGAGAATCCTCGTGAAGCGAGCACTGCCTCGGCCTAAAGCAGAGAGTTCCTCCATCCATATGAGATTTTGAAGGAAGCTGAGGACTTGATATTAAATTTGTTTTTTCCTCCAATCTGAATATCTTTTTCTTTCTTTTTTTGTTTTATTTTATTTATTTATGTTTATTGCAGTAACTCGGATTATAACATTATATAATTTTCAGGTGTACATCGTAATATATTTTGAGTTCTGTGTAGATTACATCATGTTCACCACCCAAAGACTAATTACAATCCATCACCAGACACATGTGCCTAATCGCCCTCTTTTTCTTTTAACAAAATTTTATCTTATGTACATTACTGGTATTTGAGATATATTTAGATCTATTTTTATTATTGCCTTGAATCTTTCTTCATGTTTCCTTTGTTTTCTACTTTTTCCTCTATGGATTGGTTTCTGTTTTTTTCTCCCCCTTTCCTCCATTTCTGGTAACTTAGTAGATTTTTGGGTTTTTTCATGATTATTTAAAAAGACTTTACCTAACATATTATATATCTATTTCTTCATTTATCAACTTGAAAAATGATGTAGAGTCTACTGCTTCTTAATACAAAGAATGAAGCTAACTCCTTTATATTTCCGTCTACTTTCTGTCCCACCTCCTTCTGCCTTTCTTAACCTTCTGGTTTTTGTTAATAAAAACAATAAAACTAGGGGCTGGCCTGGTGGTGCAGTGATTAAGTACGCACGTTCCGCTTCGGTAGCCTGGGGTTCATCGGTTTGGATCCCTGGTGCAGACATGGCACCGCTTGGCAAGCCATGCTGTGGTAGATGTCCCACATATAAAGTAGAGGAAGATGGGCACAGATGTTAGCTCAGGGCCAGTCTTCCTCAGCAAAAAGAGGAGGATGGGCAGCAGACGTTAGCTCAGGGCTAATCTTCCTCAAAATAAATAAATAAATAAATAAAACTAACGTTTTTGAAGTACACAGTATGGATCAGGCTCAGTCCTCAGCTCTTTACATGGATACGCTCATTTTATCCACATAACACCCCTATAAGTTTTATTATCACCCCCATTTTATAGAAAACTGTGGTCTAGAGAGGCTGGTAGACTTCTCCAAGGCTTCAGAGCTAGGGAGTGGTGAAGCTGGGATTCAGTGCACTCCTTGCTCTCGGTGAGTTGGTAGGCAAGTACTCTGATTAACTGCCTGAGGCACTTACACTCCAAAGAAAATTATTCTCTCTGCTAACAAATCTGGCTAGAACTGAGTGCTGGGAACACACATGAGTCACACATCTGGGTGGGTAAGCTGGGAATTAGGAGTTTTCACTGTGAAGTTAATGAATGGAGGCAGAGCAGGTTTTGCAGGGACCTGAGGCCTCATCACAGCTTTTGCACAGACTTCAACCCTATGACTCAGATTCCTACCTGTGACACAGGGCAGACCATTCTGCAGTGTGCTTTATAGATCTGTTACCCAGAACTCCCTGAGGCCACAGTCTGAATTTGGTCAAGATTCAGAGAGAGTTTTAGTCGAGGCTAAGAACTGGACACTCAGGAAGGACACATTTTCTTTAAAAGCCAGAAAATTCCACAGAGACCAAAGGTGCTCCCCTAAATTGATTTTAATTATAAATGAACTAAAGCTTTTACTTTCTTTCTGACTGGGTATAGCTAGAGAACACTCTGCTTTGGTGATCCACTCATGGAAGGAGAAGGACACAGGCTGTCAAGGTAGGGTGAGGAAGACCACTTGTGACCTGGTAACAGCATTTCATCAACATCAAACTGAGATGCAAAACATTTCAGCGTGTCTTGTAAGAGAGGCTGGTGAGGTGAAAACTCATGGTGTAGTCAGAAAAAGAAGCTGGATAGAAATGGCCGCCATGTGAAAGAATAGAGACTCATTTCCATTTACCTGTCACAAAGAGCCAGGTCCTGGCTCCGGCCAGCCTTGACGAACATCATCTTGGCGCTAAAGAGCAGCTGCTTCATAATGTCTATGAGCAGCCCTGCATCCACCTCTGGGTTGGTGAGGCCCTGGGACAGCCTGCAGCAGTGCTCAATTAGCTGGTGGCCACAGGCAGCACAGTCCCGGTGCAGATTCAGGATGGCAATGCACAAGGAGGCGTTAGGGGCCTGGCCAGGGTGGAAGAAGAGAGAAAAACAGTGAGTTCAGGGGCCAAAGCATTCTTCCAGTGGAGTGGGATGGCAGGAATCGTTCTTCCCATTTCACAAAGCTTGAAAAACACTGGAAGAAGGAGCCAAAATTCCATGGCAAAGCAGAAGTGGAACTAAACAAATTTCAGATGTTTCATGGCCAAAGCCCTGGCTGCTGGTTTCGTCACTTTACTGGGAAGAAGGCAGCTGTGTCCTGTGTTACCTACTTCTTGGGAATGTCCATGTGTCCCCTCCTTTTGCCAGTCTACTGCCCCACTAGTGCAGGTCCTCCTTATTGCTGGCTTGGACTGTGACCATTACCTTGCTTAACTGACCACTTGGAGAAGTCTCGACTTGAAGCCACTGGAAACACTGCTGCTAAATTAAGTATTCCCGAAGCACACTCTGAAACCTTTCATGGTCCCTGATGCCTACTGAGTACATATTCTTTACTGCAGAATTCAAGGCCCTAAACATAAATAGCCCATTTCAATCCTATCTTTTACTACCTCTCTATTAACATCCTATATTCCCTCTGGATTAAACTGTTTCCAATTCCCCAGTCATGTCCTGCAATTTGTGACACTGTGCCTTTGCTCAGATGCTTCAGTTTTGCACTCTTTGTCTTTCCCTTATCCTCACCTCACAACCCACAAACTTCTTGTCAAACTTCTACTGCTCGTCTTCCATGTTACCTCTTCCATGAAGCCTTTCCTGATCTCCTCTGGTGCATTTCCCAAGATGCTCCTCATTTCCTGCCTTAACTGGCCTTACTTGTCCTAGCTCCCATATTATTACACTGTAAGCAAGCGAAGGCCAGGTAGTGTTCGCCTATCTCTGCATTTCCTGCCATACTACTCTATGTCATAAACTCAAATACTACACTACACATCAAAAGAACTCAGATTTTATTGCTCTTACCTGCTCATAGTAAAATTCACTCCGCACCAGCTCATTTTCCTCCTCATTCAGATCCAAAATCCATTCCACCTCAGCTGCCTTAGGGACTCTCACCACCGCTGAGTACGGAGGGCTTTCAGTCTTGGAGCTGTCTGGTACTGAGGAGAGAAATGCCATTCACGCGTCAGTCACTGGCCAGCAGCCCAGTCTACCCAGTCCAGTGCGCTGGTGAGAGCTGGAGGCAGGGATAGGGCCCTCTCTCTTTCCTTGGTCCCTTTCCTTTCCTTTAGGAAACCATGTTGAGCACCCCAAACCTTCCTCCCCAGGGAAGACCTGGGATGAGTGTTACAGTGTTTGCCATATAACCCCACTGCTTCACACGAGAAACCCTGAAAGGCACAGGCTTCTCAACTGAAGGGCTGAGCCATTGGCTACTCTAAAAACTAACCTGCTGTGGAAGGATAGAGGTCAAACTATGACTAGTGATTACTGAGCGGGAAGGAGGAAGCATTGGGAGGTAGGATGGTGGTGATGGGGAACCTAGAGGGGAAAAAAAGAAATAACCCACTAAAATTAAGGACCAAATTCTTTGGTTGCTGGCCTTCTCAATGCTGGAAGCTAATGGGCCAATGTGATAGGTTAATATGATGATGAACTTTAAGGGAAACAGTTTGAGAGAAATGCCAGGATCTTCTGTGGCCAAGTTGGATTGAGTGGCCATTGAGGGAATCAGTACAGCTGATACGCTGAAAGTAGAGCCAACTCGAACATATAAACAGCCACAGGGAACGCGATTCAGCCTCACCTTCTGGTTGTCCTGGATTCTCCTCTGACACACTGGAAACAGAGAAAGAAAAATGAGATGACTGAATCCCTCCTCCTCCTCTTTGTTTTGAGCTTGGTATATAGCATTGACATTTACTCAGTTACATGAGTGCGTTATCAGGGAATCATCCAAAACTCTTTTCTCTCCTCACCTGTCACAGCCTATCACTCACCATTTCCTGTCCATTCCATCTCCTAAATAGCTCTTTAAATGTCCCCATCTCTCTCTTCAGCCCTGCCCCAGAGAGAGCCCTCATCATTTATTGCTAGAGCCTTTGCAATAGCTTCCCAATTGGTCTCCCTGATTTCATCAACCTTTTCTCTACTTCACAGGTATAGTAAGCTTTCAAAAATGCAAATCTGATCATGTTATGCTTCTGTTTAAAATCCTTCAGTAGCTCCTCAGGGTAAAAATATTCCACATTTGCCATTCAGCAGACAAAGTCCCTTATGACCTGGCCTGGCTACCTCTTGAGACAATCTCTTGCCACCTATGACCTGTGCTCAACCCATAAAAGTCCTCCCCACTCCGCCACTGGCTCTGGTCAACTTCACCTTGGGCCACCGAGCACAAAGTCTTGATGCCACAAGCCAGAGCCCAAGGCTATCACCTGCATGAAGAGCCTGCTCGTCAACCCCAGCCTATGCTGCCAAAGAGCAAACTCCACACCTTTGTGCCATTGCCTAAGTCCTCCTGATTCAGCTGCCAGCCTCTAAGTCCAAGGTACGCTGGCCAGAAGCTTAGCCCATCACCTGCCTATTTACGCTTCCTCAAATGACCCAAATTTTCTCCTGTCCCTACCTTTGAAGTTGTTACTCCCACTTCTGGGCATGCTCTGTTTTGGCTTCTTTTCCGACTAACTTCTCATCCTCTAAGTCTCAGACTAGGTGCCACCTCCTGCCCATTGGGCTAAGCTGTGTGTCTCCACCACTGCACTTATCCAACGGCTTTGTGCTCTTTCTGTTGGCTGTCTCCCCACTAAGATGGGGCTCTTTGAGGGCAAAGAGATTATTGCTGAGAGATTGTTGAATGAAAGAATCCCCATCAATACTAACTGCTCGTTTCAAATCTCACCTCTATGGTATATGGGTAATTCCCCTGAACTCCACCCCAAGGGAGGCGGTGGTCTGCCAGGGTAACAGAATCCGTAGTATAAGCCTGGCATATATTCCTTCCTATGAGATCAGTAAATTATCATGGTAAATATGACCAAAAAAGTTCATATGAAAACAAACACAAAAATACTGTGAAGCTACTGAGCAGAATGTAAAATCTATTTAAGTCTACAAATAAAACATGAAGAAGTCAAAGTAATTTTGCTTTTTGATAGTTGCTTTGGCTCATATTCCCAGATGCTCTAGGAGTCTATTTCACTCTCCTGTGGTGCTAGAAGTAGCGGAAAAAACTGAGCAACACTGATCCAGCAAACACAGTTTTGATCAGACTTGCTAGAGGTATGAGCAGTATCCGAAATTTGTCACCAGCTGAACTGGGTGTAGCAAAGTGTGAGGGCTCTTCTGATTGTGGATAAGAAGCTGGGATGACTAGCTAGATCAGACTCATGCAAGTGGTGCCCTCACATTGAACAGGTATGAACATGTCCCTTTGAGTCCAGGTGAGACCAACTGAAGCAAGAGTGGCTGGAAAACAGGTGAGGTTGTTGGTAAACTAAGGTCAGTGGCCTGAGTCAGGGGATGGGCTGAAGAACCAAGTGTCCTCATCTCAGAGAGAACATCATGTAAGAGACTTGAACTCAGCTTCCTCTCATCTGCTCTTGGTCAGAGGAAGTTTCTCTGACCAAGGTCAAACATTTCATTGTAGAGTTAATGGCATTTCAGTGTTATTGTTAAACTAAAACTATTTGTAATTGTTCCAGATTTGAGATGCTCTCCACAATGAGACCCCTAGGAGTGTAAGGACCTGGAGGAGGGTGCAGTGGTCAATAATAGTAGCAGTCCTGCTTGCAGGACACTCACTCTTTGTTGTAGTAACTATAGCACTGGTCACACACGCGAGCAGGGTTCTCTCTGCAGCCTTCCACCACCATTTTCTTAGTGGAGCAGGAATTGCACACTAGCCGGCCACAGCGGCGACAATGATGACGCCTGTTAAACTGAGGAGTGCCATCAGGAAAAGAAGGAATAAGGAAGAAGAGAAGGTGAGACTGCAGGACCTGTGAGTGTATCTGTCAACCCATTCATTCTTGGTATCAGTCCGCTGTGACTTATTAAGAACCTCTACTTGGGCCTCCACTGAGAAAGAACACACCAGTTCTTGCCTTCAAGAAGCTGACATTTAAAGACATTTCTGTCAATGGACAAAGATGCCCAAGTCAAGGACAATTTTGCAATAGCTCCTGACAAACTCTCCCTGTTGGTGGAGGCAACACATAAAGACATAGCAAAAAGCAGTGGGGAAGAAGTGACTTTCTCAGCTAATGTGGGTCACATTTCTCCATGGTGTGGTATTTCAAAATGCTTTTACAGGTGCTACCTCATTTCATTATAAGAGGTTGACACACATATTGCACTTCTTTTATAAATGAGGAGGAAAGAGACACAGAGAAATTACACCATCATCATTTTCATCAGCACTGAGCTAATATGCCAGTACTGATACTGTGTTAACACAGGTAATTGTTAGGTATGCTAACATTTGTTACTGTAGTTAGTCCTTACAGCTCCACGAGCCAAATAATATATCATCCCTAGTTTACAAGTGAGCATCAAAGACTGAAAAAGTTAACAGTCACATTGCTAGTAAGAGGCAGAGCTGGGATTAGAACCTAGGTCCTCTGTCTCCAGAGCCAGTACACATGACCAGTACCAGGTCACTTGTCTTACTGTGAAAGAAAGGGGAGCTAGAAACAAGATCTCCTGATGTTTGGTGACTCTTCCTACTATACCACTCTGATTCTTTTTAGCTATTTCATGAGAATGGCAAAGGTTTTAGACTTTAAGGCTACTTGGGAGTGTTTACCACCTGTCAAAATCCATAAAATATATTCTGGTCAGGTCATAGACAAGCCCCAAGTCTTCGATTTGGTAGTTCATCTGAAAATACCAATATCCTCTTGGAGACAGGAGGTGATCATAAACTCAGGCTCATGAACTAGAGTTTTCCTTTAATTTCTCCTGCAGGTAAAGCTGGAGACTGATGCTGCTTACCATGGTGAAGTGCTCCCTGCAACAGACCATGCAGATGCTCTTGCTCTCATCCGGTACCCACTGGTGCCTGGCAGGGGGCGTTGCTGGGGGCACAAACTCCAGTGGGGGCTGACTCTGAGGGAGGCTCCTCTCCCTCGGACTGGGGGAATGCACAATGGAGACACCTGGGAGTCAGAGCCAGAAGTCAGAGTAAAAGGTGATCAATAGTCCAACCAATAAAGGAAGAAGGAATGAGAGAATTAGAATTTCACCACTTTACAAACTCCTACTGAAATAACAGATCCAGTTGACGATCATCAATGACTGATTGCGTTACCAAAAGACAGACAACTGGACATTGTGGGTCTCCTGATGGAAGGCACACAACCACCTATCAAATATACCTCCCCAAAAATATTAAGCCTAACTCAAATCAAGCTTCTAGATCTATCTACCAGCGAACTAGAAATACAGAGGATGGAGACTCAGATTGCCACTGGTTGGCAATCAGCAAAAGCCAGCATGTGGGGAGCTCTACAGGACAAATGACCTAGTTTCCACCAAAAACAAAAAAGAGGTAGGGGAGCCTATTGATTAAAAGAGATTTAAGAAGTATTTCAGGCAAATGCCATATGTGGACATTAACCAATTCTAAAAAAACCTTTATGAGACAACTGGGGAAATGTGAATACTGACTGGATACTTGATAATAATAATGAATTGTTAATTTGTTTTTAGGTCTGATAATTATGTTATGGTTTTGTCTAATAAATGTCCTTACCTTTGAGAGATATAGATTGATATATTTATAAACGAAATGATATGATATCTAGCAATGGCATCAAAATAATCCAGTAGAAGGACAGGGGTATAGACGACACAGGAATGGCCATCGTGAGATGATATTTACTGTAGCCAGGTAATGGGTATGTGAGACTTTAGTGCACTTTTCTCTCTACTTTCGTACATTGGAAATTTTGCACAATAAAAAGCTAAAAATAAATAAATAAATAAGTAAACTCAAGCTGCTTAGCTGCCTTATGCAGATGCCTGAAGCTGCTCATATACCTGTATGTCTGAACCCTCCCCTCAGATCTGCTGGTTATCCTGAAGCATGGCTACTTCTCAAAGTAGGGCCATGAAATGCCAGTCTTTGGGTTATGGTATCTAAGGAGATTTCTTGTCATTTAGCAGAGCAATGTTGGCAGGTGACAGAAAACGAGAACTGAAAAACCCAGTAACTCCTCGCAGCACCCAGAAGAAGATAGACTACAGATCTCTCCCAGGATCCTGCTCCCCTGATGGCTGGTCGACAAACACCTGCTGAGCTTCTCCTGCGTGCAGGCCACCGTGCGAGGGGCTGGAGACTGTGAGGAGAGGAGGCGTGGTGAGAAGGGGCAACCAAGACATGGGGAGGCCATCAAGGAGCTCGCACCCCATGTGCGTGACAGACAACTAATCAACTGCAGCATAGGGGCAGAAGGAACACAAGCACTAAATACAGTTGATCTTCCTTATTAGCAGATTCCACATTTGTGAATTTGCCTCCTCGCTAAAATTTGTCACCTCAAAATCACTATTTGCAGTGCTTTTGCAGACTTGCGCAGAGTGGTGAATAATTTGAGTCACCCGACACTCAGGTTCTCATCTGAGGTTGAACAAGGTGGTATTGTGCTTTCTTATTTCAGCTCTATCCAGAGATGACCAGAGGATGGGACGGTAGGGGACAGTGTAGTGCAAAAAGCTCTGGCTCTGAGGCTGGTTGGACAGGCACTCAAGAGGCATGTGACCTCAGGCAAGTCATGTGACCACTTCTGAGCCTCTTCTTCTCTTTTGTAAAACAAAGAAAATAGAATCTACTAGGATGAATTGTTTCCAATTTAGCATTATAATCTATGTGAGTCTATACTCTGTATAACCTATCTATGTATGTAAATATTTTCCTTAGGAGTAATGCTTCAGGATTTGCTAACTCAGTGTTTGTGGGGACTTTATAGATACAGGACTTTATAGATACTGCAAATAAGGAGATCTGATTGTGTGTTGAATTATTTGGGATTTACAAAGCTGGAACGAACCAAGAAAAATAATTAATAAGAATGTTGTAACTGGAAGTGAAAGAAGAGGCAAAAGAATCAGAAAGTCAGAATAAGGCAAGGCTGAAGTGAAAAATGGGTAACTCTCAGAACCTGTTCTTACCAGGAGCAGCAGCAGAAAGGAACTCTGCTGATGGTGATCTAGACAAGGTCTCGAGGTCTGAAGCCTGACTCACAGCTTCCTGGAGGTGACTCACAGAATCTGCAGAGAGGGAAAACGCTGACACAACGTTGTTCTACCATAAACACCTTCTCTCCCTGTGCTAGGCATTTAGTCCCAAGCCCTGCTGGTTTCGCTATCACCCCATGATTCTACGAGCTATCAAAGAACGGTAGAGGCACTTCTAAAACAACAGTGAGTATGCTCCTTAAACTCCTCAAAAACAAACTATGTTTAGGACCTGAGGTAATGAAATAGATGCTATGATTTTACAAAATACATCTAAAAATGCCAGAGGGAAGTGGAAGACTTCAGTAGTGGTCCTGGAGGGTAGGGAGTAAGAAACAAAAGCTGGCTGGGACCATCAGCCCACATTTCATTTTCTTCTTTCTAGAAGAGGCTGAGTCAGCTCATATACTAGTGATATCTGACGTGACCCCGGAATAGAGCACACCCTCCATACACAACAATGGCATTTAAGGACCCACTACACTAAGGCCAGACAAAGACCAGCTTTACCACGTTTCGTTTCCCAAACCCTTATATTATGCGAGTGGTGGTGATCTAGCATCCTTTAATTCTGGTTAGCCTGCCGCTTCCTCTAAGACAAAGATCTCTCCTATATAATAAAGAGCTCTCTCCTGAAGTGTATTCCTTTCACTCTTGATCACCTCAAAATAATAAAGAGGAGAAGTTAAAGCTAAGGACGTAGTATGGTATTTCTTCCTCCACGTAGAACCCCCATCCAGAATGTTGGCAGTTACCTGATCGTTTCTCCCTCAGAGGGTAAGGGAAGTCCAGGGCTTTCCCTGCGTATCTGGAAAGCAGTGAGTCAACCTCGTCCGTGCTGAAGCCAATCTCCTGCCCGGCCAGCAGCTGGTGCAGAGTCTGAACAGCCACAGTGGCCCAATCCACTTTCATGTTCATGAGCAGCTGCTCCAGCATGAGCAGGGGGTTAGAGGACAAGTGGGAATAGCTGGCTCGGTGCTGCTCAGGCAGGGTCAGCAGAACCTGTTTGTGGGGTAGATCCATAGAGTAAAGAAAATAGTACCCAAATTTCAGAAGAAAGCTGAGATTCTTACTGGGAAGAAGGAAGGGTGTCAGAGACCAAAAGGCACATGGCCAAATACTGACACTGGCTAACAGTCTTTTAGGAAACAAGGCTGACTCCTCTCTAAATGCTCCAGATGGCAATCAAGAAGTATTCCAAGTACCTTCACCACAAGTACTCAACTCTGCCAACTGAGTGTAAAGGCAGCCATAGGCAATATGTAAATGAATACACAGGCTTGTTTTCCAATAAAACTTGATTTACGAAAGTGGGCTGAGGACTGAATTTGGCCCACAGGTGGTAGTCTGCTGACCCCTGTCTAGATCCTCCAGGTATGGGTGAGTCCCGCCTGATCCTTAACGCCACCATTCTGTCCACTTGAGGCTCTGTTAGAATGAGCAGAATAAGATGAGAAGATTTTAGCAGCGGACTGCCTAAAACTGGCACCTCCAGTGCCCTGTAGGTAAATAATGACTCTAAACTCTTTCGGGAGGTTGTTATCACTAGGCTTGAAATATGTTCACTGGCTCTGCTCACTGCCAATTTTCAAGGATTCCCCCATTCAGGTATAGTGTATCAAAACAAAAACAAAAACAAAATGGTCTATTTTCTTTAGGAACATTTTATGCAGTTGAACTCTTAGCACATGAGCCAGTGGTCATATTCATGGCTTTCCTAGCACTCGTTCTAGTCAAGGCACAAGTTCCATACTCATGGGGTGGTATACATGACTGCCAATCAGAATCATTAGAAGGGTGGCAGAAGGTCCATCTATCCCCAAACCCTCCTTGACTAGATTACTTTTTCTAGCTTAGAATTTCTTCTATTATTGTCTCCAAGGTTACACACCACAGGTAAAGATCTATTACCTTATTACCTAGGCAATTAACTCTTTTCCTTTAGCACAGACTAGTTTATCAAGCAGTAGTTTTAAATCCACACATCAGAATCCTTTTGGAAGACAGCCAGGTCCTGACCCAAGAGATTCAGTTTTAATTGATCTGGGGTGGAGGTCAACTATTGGTATTTTCAAAAAGTCCAAGTGATTCTAATACATGGTCAGAATTGAGGAGCATTGATATAGCAGATGCCAGATAAAGCACAAAGAGAACTTAGGAGGACCAGGTAAAATTCACTTTGGAGGCAGGGCAGTAAGAGAATGACAAGTCCTAAGGGACCCAACTAGGTTATGATGGGCTGCTAGGGTAAAGGCTTTATACAGCACAGGCCAAGGATGGCAGGTGTCTGGAAGAAGAGTCATTGAAAGAGCAAGTTCTGCAGTGGGAGCTGGGCCAGCAGGCTCTCCGTCAGGCATGCTTTCCCATCACCTCCTTTTTCTCTTTACCTTGGATCCCATGTACAGTGCCTGGATTTCACGGTGTCGGGCAGCAGTCAGTTCTCCATAGAAGTGGGTGGTGAGGTAGTTGGCCAAGAAGTGAGAAGTGGCCAAGCTAGGGTGCTGGTCAAGAGATTGCTCCGTGACCTCAAGGCACATGGTGGGGTCAGGAATTCTCTGCAGGAGCTGTTGCAAGAGAAGGGTAGAAGAAAAGGTAGGCCTGTAGAAGAACTCTTAGTTTAGCCATATTTTGTTTGAGAAAGGAACACAGGTTTATTCATTTTGGATTAACCCCTTCTCCACACATTTTTCACCATCCCTGTGGCTTCACAATGATGGCTTTGATGGGACCAGAGTTCAGCAGGAGTCCTGGATCCAGCTGCCCATCTGGCACCTAATGCAGGGCTGGGCACCTTCTGCTCAAGATGGGATAAGAAGGGGCAGACCTGATATTGGGAAAGCTTTGTATAGGATTCAGCATGAACAGAGCTGTCTGATTTGACTAACCTTCCTGTCCTGCCCCGAAAGAGAAATGGGAAGAGTTAGAGACTTACTTTCAGAGCCTTTTCATGATCTCCTTTTTCTAGAAGGTGTAGAAGATGCTTTTGATGTAAGCTGATTAAGTGTTCTCTTGGAATAGGGTAGAGGCAGCCCCACTCCTCACACAGCCCATACTCCTGGAAGGAAACACACACACCTTCAATCCCTTTAAATTACTGCACTTGTCACTCATCCAGCTTCTGCCTGTTTTCTTCTCAGTAGTCTTGAGTCTACTAAAGCCCCAGGAGAGTTTGGTAAGTGCTGATGGGGACTTCACTATGGAATTACAGTGGGATCATAAACTCAAAGGACTGGAGTGGCAAGGTAAGTTATGAAAATGATCGAAGTGGGCTGACTGTTAATGCTATCATTCTCATCTTAGCTTTACCAGAAAAACAGATGACATACAGTGACTGACACTTGGTGTCAGCCCTGGGAGATACTAAGGAAGTGGGGAAGACTGAGAAGACAGTCCAGAGGAGACAGTTCCTACTCATTTCGGACTGTTGCCATATGAACAGGCAGGCCCAGGGTTGCCAGACTTTAAAAAACTCAAAAAAATTTTTTTTAATCAAAAATGTTTCCTACTTTAAAATGTTGGCAATGAAATCAGCATGAAAAAAATAAAAATTCTGCAGACCAATACTGCATGGGCCAAACAAACTTGCTGAGGGTTGGATTCCATCCATGTCCCCTTTGCTAGCTGCCCCCTAATTTGTGAACTCTGGATTAAAGTTTCAGAGAACGGAATTTCCAGGGCTTTGTTCAAGGATTCTAATGCAGTGGTATCTGCAATGACACCCCTTCCCCCAACTCTGCCTCAGGCCGCCTTCTTCAGGATGGTTCCTTGTTTCTCAGGCTACGTTAGTGCTCTGCCTGGACTCCCACCACAAGCTGGGCTTACTTCTGTCACTTGATATATCACCATCACCAAGGGATGTGTCTCACATTGTCCCCTTCCCAGAATGTGAGCTGCGCAAGGGCAAGGACTAAGCTTCATTATCTTTATTTCACCACCACCCAGCATAGTGGCAAATAATATGCAGTCAGTAAAGGTTTCCTGGATGAATGAACATCTGAATGAGCATTTCTACATTTTGAACTATGGCAAATCAGTTCCTTAAAAGGTAAATAAAAATCTATTTAGCACTCAAATGTCTAATAAAACACATGAAAAGATATTCAAGGTCATTAGTAATCAAGGAAATATGAATTAAAACAATGATGAGATACCATCCTACTGGCAAAAGGTAAAAGCTGAACAATACCAAAACTTAGAAAGGATATGGAGCAACAGAAACTGCGAGTGGCACAACTGAGCTGAGGAGCGATTTAGTAATATCTTAATAAAGGTGAGGATGTTCACGCCTGAGGACAGAGTAATTCCACTGCTGGGTGTGCCTTCTGTACCTAGTGTATACAGTGTAGAAAATCTCATGTATGAACACAAAGGTCATAGTGCAAAAGTGTCAACTGTATTACTCTCTATACTTGTCTGTATGTTGGCAAATTTCAAAAAAAAAAAAAAAGAGAAAAAAGAATGTGATGTAATTATAAAAAATTGTGTACCCTGACACATGGAAAGGGGTCTACACAACCAGCTAAGGAATTGCAACACTGAAAAGAGGAGGAAGGGGAATACCACCCAGGAAAATGGTACCTTTGCTTCTAGAATCATGTTCATGACAGTTGATGGGTCCTCAACACAACAGTTCCTCAGGGTCTGCCAGTCACACCACACGGGGGTATCCTGCAGACCTAGAATCTAGGGAAAGACAGGAAGCTATCAAACCTCACTGTAGCTTCTCCCTCCATGAACAAGTCACCAGAGCTTCCAGGGATGCGCTGTCCTTAGGTCTCTGTCCCAAAGTTAGGCTGTCAGAATTTGCCAGGAGACAGGAATAATTAGAGCAAATGGGGCAAAGATTGGAGAGGCAAGTGCATTCTCTGGAAGTATAATCAGGGAGCAGAGGCTGATTAGCGAGGCCAGAATTGGGGCCTTTCACTGGTGAGGACAATTCTCAGAGGCTTCTATGCTTTATAGTTTGTTCAGTTTTCTGGGGTCACTTGTCCCATGCTCCTCCATCTCAAAATTCTACTCAAGTTATTCTTCGGCTTGAATGCTCTGTGGGATCACCATTCAGGTAGCACTTTAGCTCTGCATGAAAACTGCTGAGGAAGAGTGGAAAAAAAACCTTCTCCACCTGCCATTTTCATTTTCCCTGGTGGGGCTCTGGACTCTGTTCAGTTCCAAGAGCACATGGAAAAATGAGCATATGTCTTATACTTGTCACATGGCTGTACCACCTAAATCTGTCTCCCTGAGCCTCTTGATCTTGACTATAACACATATCCCACAAGAACCTTTCACTTTTGAAACTGTCACTTTCATGCATCCTTTCAAAATAGCTTTTGAAATTTAGCTGAAATTTAAAACAATCTATAAAAAAGACATTACAGACATAAAACATACGCAAAGCTCAAATAGACATGTGAAAAGGCTTTGTGGACTGTGAAGCATCATTCCAGTGTTAATTTTGTTATTATTTTTATCCATGTTTGATGCATATATATTTAAAATTACAGGAGTAAATAAAACAGGAATGAGATAGGAGGCCTCCTCACTGTTCAGGTGAGAGCAGGAGCCAGATGCAGAGCAAAAGCCAGGTCTAGATTTTCTGTTCCTCAAAATCCACCACCATATGAGAAAAGGCTGGGGTTGGTAATAGGGTGAGAAGCTTATTTCCCTTCTCCTGATCTCAGGGCCCATACCTTCTGATACACCTGCAGCTCTGCCAGTTTTCTCCGTAGCTCACACTTTAGTGCATCTTGGACAGCTATGTCTGAAATGCAGTAGGCCAGGATCTCCAAGCACGACTCCAGTGGCCACCTGTTCACAAACTGTAGGGTTAGTCGACTTCTCAGAGATGCATCCTTCACAGCAAACAGGTACTGCCAACCTTCTTTGTCTACAAGATAAAAAGATGCCTAGAGGCAGCAAGCCTGGCCCAGACGAGCTCAAGATCCAGGTTACTTCTTAAGAGAAAGGCTGGGGCTGGCCCCGTGGCTGAGTGGTTAAGTTTGTGCGCTCCCCTTCAGTGGCCCAGGGTTTCACCCATTTGGATCCTGGATGCAGACCTAGCACTGCTCATCAGGCCATGCTGAGGTGGTGTCCCACACAGCAGAACTAAAAAGACCTACAACTAGAATATACAACTATGTACTGGGGAGCTTTGGGGAGAAGAAGAGAAAAAAAAAAAAAGGTTGGCAACAGATGTTAGCTCAAGGCCAATCTTAGGAAAAACAAAAAAGGGCTTCGTTTAGTTTCATAAAGCAGGAGCTTGGAGGATCCTTAAGATCCATCTGACTCTAACTAGTTTTTATACTTGGAACCATTATATGACAGGGAGAAATGCTCTACCCCTATGTTTCCCTTTATATAAACCTGATCATAGTCAGGAGGCTTTCAGAAGAGAGAGAAAGAGAAAAGAGAGGAGGAAGAAGAAGGGAGGAAGGAAGACAGAAGCACAGATGAAGCCCTCCATGTTCTGGCATGCTGCACATATGGCACTCTTTCAGACTCAACTGTCAGTGGAACTTTTAGTTTTCCCCATAATATCCACTCTGTGGCAGACATAACTACTTGAAAGTTGTTTCAGGTAAACTAGTTTCACTCCCTTGATATCATCTGCCATTACTACTTAATAGATCTCTCTCTCCCACACCCATTTCACAGAGCTGAAAAACACACCAAGCAATTAAGACAGCACAGCCAGTCAGTGGGTTTCTTCCCCTCTCAAGGGGGAATTTTCTCCTTTTCATGGGGCAGCCAACCCTCCTACCCATAAGCCATTCCCAACAGCACACCTGGCTCTTGCTCCCCCTAGTGGAGTTTTGTCGGTCACTGGCTCTCAACCCTGGTTACACACTGAAATCTCTTACCCAGCTTTCAAAGTAGAGATTGTCATGCAGGCCCACAGTCTGTTTTTATAAATAAAGTTTTATTAGAATATGGCCACGCTCATTTACGTATGTATCGGGTATGGCTGCTTTCATGCTATAATGGCAGAGTCGGGTAGTTGCAACCGAGACTGTATGGCTACAAAGCCCTTTACGGAAAAAGTTTGCTGACCTCTGTTTTCAAGTAAACACTTGCCTGACCCCTATCCTGGGCTTCTGGTGGTGAGGCTCAGATACTTGTAGTTCATAGACTTTTCCAACGATTCTGACACCCAGAGTAGAGAGCACAGGTCATGAGTGCCTGTTCTAAAGTTAGATGAACCTGGGTTCTAAGCTCTGCTCCACCACTTACTATCCTGAGCAAGTTTCCTATTCTCTGAGCCTTGGTCTCATCTCAGTATTGTGAGATTATAGTGGCACCTTTTTCTAGAGTTCTTGGGAGATCAAATACAATGATACACTCAGTGAATGCTAAATACTATTTCCACTGGTCAAGGGGAGGCAGAACTTTCTGCTCACCATATGCCGCAGCACAGCTCAGGACTGCATCCCGTATGCTGTTCAAGTCGTCCACGTCTCGCCCGTACACCTCAGTGAGCTGAAGGGCCCGGGGCCAATCTCTGGCCACCAGGGCTTCCTCGAAGGCCTCAGTGAGCACATCTAGGGCAGTGGGAGAATGCAGGCCCAGGAGGACAGTAGAGAGACTGGCCTGGCCACAGAGACTTGCTGCCAGACTCTGCCCCTGCTCAGACGATCCTTGTAAGGGCTCCCAGGCAGCCATAAGGGAGGCCTCAAGCATAGGGAACTGTTCTAGGAGGCGCTCACACTCCCGGGCTACTTGCTCTGCAGTCAGAGGCACCTCCCTGCGGCCACGAAGCTCCTTCCACGACAAGCTGGGCTTGGTGACCTTTGCCCCCCAGGAAACGCCCAGGCAGGCCACTGTAGCCAGCAGCTTTGAGCGGGACTTAAGGAAGGCCAAGGCAGAGGAGGTGAGGGCTGGGGGTGATGAACCCCTTGGGGAGGAGTGGGACTTTCTCTCTAATGTGGGATTCTCAGTTGGCTTTGGGGAGCTCAAGGTAGAAAGTGGGAGGTCCTCCAGGCAGTGGGAGGTGTGCAGCTGGGCCAAGGTGCCCAAGTGGGTCAGAAGGGATGATGTCTGCTGGCTTTGCCGGGATGAGCAAAGGGCAAGGGGCTCACAGCAGCAGTTGACGATGACCTGTGGCACACTCAGGCCGAGACCCTCTTGGGCCAGAAGGGCTGCCAGCCTGGAGAGAGAGAAGCACAGGGCATGTAAGGCCTGAGTGCATACATACCACCATTACCCAATCTCAGAATTTCTTTATGTTCACACAAGCAAATGTAAATGCAGGCTCTTTAATTGTTTCTCTCTCTTTTTTTCTGCGCAAAGGTAGCCCATTAGGCACACTGCTCTGCCCTGTGGTTTGTAACTTAATAACATATCTGGGAGAGCTGTTCATATCCTTCTATAGAGGGGCCCATCATTTTTTTTTTTACAGCTACATATTATTCCATTATGTGGATGAATATAATTTAACTAGTCTTCTATTAGTAGACAATGGATTTTTCTGATCTGTTGATCTTACATATAAGGCTGTAATAAAATGATTGCACATACACCATTTTTCACATGTACAATCATGTGTCGCTTAACGATGGGGATACGTTCTGGGAAACGTGCTGTTAGGTGATTTCGTTGTTGTGCAAACAACATAGTGTGTACTTCACAAGCCTAGATGGTACAGCCTACCACACACCTTTCAGTACTAATCTTATGGGACTTGGCTTTTGGTATTAATCTTTTTTTTTTTTGAGGAAGATTAGCCCTGAGCTAACATCTGCTGCCAATTCTCCTCTTTTTGCTGAGGAAGACTGGCCCTGAACTAACATCTATGCCCATCTTCCTCTACTTTATATGTGGGACACCTGCCACAGCATGGCTTGACAAGCAGTGTGTAGGTCCACAGCCAGGATCCGAACCGGCAAACCCAGGGCTGCCGAGGCAGAATGTGCAAACTTAACCACTGTGCCACTGGGCTGGCCTCTGGTACTAATCTTGTGGGATCACCATTGTATATGCAGTCAGTCATTGACTGAAACATTATGCAGTGCATGACCATACAATAAAGCTGCAGGGTAAATTCCCCAATGTGGATTGCCAGGTCAAAGAGTATATGAATTTCTAATTTTAGTAGACTGCCTTCCCACAGGGGCTGTATCAATTTATATCCCATCAGCAATCTATGAGAATGCTTGTTTTCCTACAGCCTAACCAACTAATGTCTTATCAAATTTTCAGATTTTTACTTATTTATAAGTGAAGATTCACCAGTTAATTTTATATTTGTAACATAAATGTTAGAGGTGGCAAGTGGGAAAGAAATGAAGCACATGGAATTTTAACATAGCTGTATAAGATTAAATGCAAGTCAAGGGAAAAGTTGGGAAGAAATCTCCACTCTCTGTACTGAACCCAGGCACAGCCCCACTGAGCCCTTCGTTTCCTTGATGAAACAATTAGGAAGGCCCATGCTTGATTCCCACAGGGTGGCTCCTACCTGTCTGGGGGAACTTGTCGCTCAAGCAGGAGGTGTGACACCAGTTGGGATGAGCTCTGTTGCAGGAGAACAAAGGGATTTCCTACTTTGACCTCCACGCGATCTGCAAAGGTAAAGAAAGTAACCTTCGTTTGCACCACTGATTGCCACAGTTCAGAGACCTGTTGTCCAGAATCAATAAAAAAGTACTACAGTGTCAAAGCAAAGACTACATTGACATTTTCCAGGTAAAGGGTTTTCTCAACATGACCCTGACCACAAGTTTATGCTTTACCACTGCTCTAAAGACTTCCAACCACAGACAAACTTCAGTGGGCAGATCTAGCCACAAAAAGCTCATCCTGCTCTCTTCAACATGACTGAAGTACATGCAGTACTTGCTCTGTGGACTCAAGTAAGACTCTAGGACTCATATCAGAGACTTGGTTCCTCTGCTGAATCCTCATATCCACAATGGACTGAAGGTCTGAGACAGGTATTTTTGTATCATCAATGCCGCTGAAATTCATTGAGTACTCCCATGTGATGTACAACTGTACTACACACTGGGGAGACAAAGATGAAGAAAACAGAGAGGAATGACAGGACCTTGTAAATCTAGTGCCGTTGGCTACTGCTGTACCCAGAACCTCTTACTTGAGCACCTTCCTCTTCCTTGCCCTAAACACTTGGAGGCCAGTCATGACTCTATTTCCTCTTTCTTGCTACTTACCAGGCTCAGAGCTCAAGCTCCGAAGAAGAACTGCAGCCAGGGTGCTACAGTAGCTGAAGAAGGTGCCCAGGTAGTCAGTTTGCCTGCTGCCTGCTGGGGTGTGTTTGCCCAGGTTCTTCTGAAGGAGCTGAGTCTGGATATGCACAGGGTGGTTCTCTGCCTCCAGAACTTTCTGGGCCACCTGTTCCACCAGGGAAGAGAGTGGAGTACTCCTGGGCTCTGAGAGGAGTTAGGAAAGGAGAAGGGATGTAGGCTTTAGTCTCTGCATCCAGTTTTGTGACAATTTCAAACATAATATGTGAACTGGGCCTCGGTGCACTGCCTGGGGCATCCTATAGCCTGGGTGTTACACTTACAAGGCAGCTATAAAATCCTAAGTTGGTTTTCTGTACAAGTGATTCTCAGCCAGCACGAGCTTTGAGTCTGGAGAAATCAGGGTGAATAGTTCTGTTTTCCACCCCAGTGTCTCTGGGGTGGAATGGCTTTATAAAGGTCATAGCAATCTTTTGGGGAAGGGTTGATAAACATTTACTGAGTACCTTCTGCGTATATTTCTCATTAGGAATGAGAAAAACATATAGCTAATGGAGTGTTAAGCATCCCTTCACTTGAAGGGCGGGGAAACAGGTGGAATTAGTTATGAGACATGCCCGGCTAACTAGAGGGCTGGTAGAGCCCAGTTCTGGAGTCTTAAGCCTCTGCTCCTTCACTCTTGGCTGTTTCCTCTCCCCATTTCAGCCCTCAACTGCTCCCAAGCTGTCAGGTCCACACCTGGCAGCTCCAGTGCTTCTCTCAGTGACTGAAGGACCTGATCCAGCTGCTGGGAGTGGGTGGTGTGGCTGGCAACACAGTCCTCAGTCAGGCTGGGCCAACACATCTGAAGAAGCTCAGCAATACTGCACCGTGGAAGGCTTCCTCCTTTTTCTTCTACACTCTCTATGGAAAGCAAAGGAGAAAGAAAACATGAAGTCCGACGCTGGCCTAAGATTCCAAGTCCAGGAGAAAAAAAAAGGGAGAAAAGCAACTCACCTGATTTAGTTTGTCCGGCTGACACAAGTGGATAATTGAGAATCTTGCTGATTTGCTGAAGAACAACCGGAAAACCTCGAATGCCGTCAGCATTGAGGAGTACGTGGTCTAGCCGTCGACCTGGAAAGAGATGAAGGAAGACAGAACGCAGAAGAAATAAGGTACATTCAGAGATTGATACTCAGTCCTCTAGTCACTTGTAAAGTTTTATCTTCTCCAATACTAAGGAGGAAATAAATGCCGCGCCATTTGGGGTGAAAACCAGCATACCTCACTTATTCCATGCCTGAGGTTCAAGGGGTAACTCGGGCAAGATGCCCCAGCTGTCAACAGCAGCAGACCCAGAGCCTCTGGCGCTCCTATGGAATTGCTATCCCAAGCCACTCAGGCACTTCTTGTGGATTTGCCTCAGTACTGCCCTCAGCCGAGAGCTTGAGCTGGGATCCCATGCGTCTTCTCTAATTGCTTTCAGTGGTGTCTTGACACCCTGACTAGATTTTAAACAACTCTATGGACAGAGATTATTCCTTATACCCCTCCTGTACCCCTATATACTTGGGATGATCTGGAAACACAGTAGGTACTAAATTAATTCCTAATTGATTGACACGAAATCGTGTCAGCTATTAATAGCTTGGATAATATCTCTGTTCATTTTAGAAAATAAGTACTAGACGAGTGGGAGGGAAATTGGTAAAAAATAGCATTGTGTACACCACAGTATACTTTCTGGGATGGATTATGTGAACATTAAGGGAATTTTAAATCAACGGCTCAGAAGTGACTTGGAGGGGTGCCCAGAAATGAGTTAACATGGGAGGCCTGAGACTGCTATCCTTAGAAAGGGCTGCTTGCAAGGTTGGCCCCTGGCTGGTGTCTGCAAACTTAATGGCCAATGGTTTCCTACACTGACAGAAAACTTTCCCTAAATGATGAGAGTGGTTTACTGTGCCTGCACTGTTTGTACAATGTGGTTTATATGAACATGTGCCTTCCTTCTGAGAGTCTGGAATTTTGGTTCATGCTGGGCAGAGGGTGCCTTTGTTACCAGCCCCCAGTAAAAACCTTGAACATTGGGTCTCTAATGAACTTCCCTATAGACAACACTTCACACTTGTCACAACTCATTGCTGGAGGAATTAAGCCCATCCTGTGTGACTCCACTGAAAGAGGACTCTTGGAAGCTTGTGCCTGGTTTCCTCCAGACTTCACCCCAAGAGCCTTTGCCCCTTGCTGATTTTGCTTTTAGACTTTTGCTGAAATAAATCTTAGCCATGATATGAGTATGACTATACGCTGAGTCCTGTGAGTTCCCCTAGTGAATCACTGAATCTAGAGGTGGCTATTCATATCATAACCTATTCACCATTCCGCCCTCCACATTACTGAGAAGGAACATGCTGCTTTCTCCCTCACTGGTCAGTCCTTCCAAGGTCTGGTGTGTGTAATCAAGGATGGGCTGCGAGTGGAACTTTGCCTAATTCTTTCTTCGTATTCCTCTACCTTCATTCCTCCAAGAATTCCACATACACATTCTGGGATATTATTAACCTCAATGAACAATCCTCCCTTCAACTGTGATCCCCTAAATTTTCCCTTAACCTGGTTTGCAAACTTGAGACTGTCCCAGGTTTTAGGCTAAGTGGGTTTCACCCAGGAGGGGGCAGGCAGTCTAAAGGTACAAATTCCATTTATACCATTTTTGCATAGGTATTTCCCCCTTGAATTTATCAATAAACCAGAAAACAATCTCCCCAATGGTTGCAGACTGCTACACCTATTCAGAAGGCAAGTCTCTCAACAGACTGGATTTATGCTATCAGACTGGGCATGAGGAAATTAACTAATAATCCCTTCTCCCTGCCCCTCCTGCCCCAAAAAGTCCTTCCTTCTTGCACAATTTATCCAGTATCTCAGAACCCAGCTCCTCACTTGAGAATTAAGGGCTGAAACTAAAGCAGCCCACTCACCCCGGCTCTCAAGGCTGCTGTTTAGACGTCGCTCGGCTGTTTCTAAGAGCTGCTTGCAGGTTTTCCAGAGCTGGCACTGAGAGCAAGCTAGGTCGAATGCAGCCATGGCAGGGGGACTCAGGTCCTCCAGGACCTCTCTCAGCGGGGCAGTGGGCTCTATCAGGGTACTGCTTATCCAAAAGTCCTCCTGGAGCATGGGGATGGGGTCCCCAGAGGCGCTGAGCAGCTTGTCGGTCACATCAGAGATGGAGTAAAATACCATCCCTGGACACCCAGCAGTGGAGTAAAAAGTAAGAGTTAGTTAAAAGGATTCTAACTACCATTTTTACCATGAAAAGTAGTTATTTATTTTATTTATTTTGTGAGGAAGATTTGCCCTAAGATCCGTTGCCAATCCTCTTTTTTTTGTTGTTTGAGGAAGATTAGCCCTGAGCTAATATCTGTGCCAATCTTCCTCTACTTTGTATGTGGGATGCCTCCACAGTATGGCTGATGAGCGGAGTAGGTCCGCACCTGGGATCTGAACCCACGAACCTGGGCTGCCGAAGTGGAGCACATGGAACTTTAACCACTCGGCCACAGGGTTGGCCCCCGAAAAGTACTTATTTAAAAAATGTCTGAGGTCCTTCTGCATAGGATATCATCCATGCACATCAGAACCATCATTACAGCCCCAACGGTGTGGAAAGGAAAACCAAGAGAAACTCAGAATGGTTGAGATGACGAGGGCTTCTTTCAAATAGGATCTAAAAATAGGTAGGGAAAGAATGAGGTGGATCTGTGTATGCTAATTGGAAAAGATCTCTAAAATACACTGCTAGGGCTGGCCCCGTGGCCGAGTGGTTAAGTTCACGCACTCCGCTGTAGGAGGCCCAGTGTTTCGTTGGTTCAAATCCTGGGCGCGGACATGGCACTGCTCATCAAGCCACGCTGAGGCAGCGTCCCACATGCCACAACTAGAAGGACCCACAACGAAGAATATACAACTATGTACTGGGGGGCTTTGGGGAGAAAAAGGAAAAAAAAAAAATCTAAAAAAAAAATAATAAAATACGCCGCTATAAAAGCAAGGTAGTAAACAGTACTTGTTGTAAAAGCCCATTTATATTAAAAACAAGAAGGATGTACATGTTTTCTTTTGAATAGGTACAGAAATATACCTGGGAGAATACAGAAGGAGCAACGTGTGAGGGTACTTGATGTATAGAGCCTAGACCAGTAACAGACGAAACGTGGGACAAGATTCCACTTTCAAGACATAGTGAGAGGATGATCTTTTTTGACGTGCAGCCAAGGTTGGGAATTGAGACCTGTGAATCCCAGGCCCCAGGTGCTACATACAACATCTTCACTTTACGGAAAAGTAAAAGAATACTTTTATCCTTGCTTTATCCTTGAATAATTACATGGGAAAGAAAGAAACTCCAAACCATTTCCTAAAGCCCAAGATAGTGGCCATCAACACACATGGTGGCACTAGCATTCACACCCTTCAGTTTAAGTTACATAGGTCAAGCTTAACGGGACAGCTCCAGTGGCAAGTACGTGACCACGGTGGACAGGGAAGCTGGGCACATCTAGAAACCGATTCTGAACGTTAGGATAGCTGTTCTGTCAGGCATGTGTTCTGCTCTGGATTTCTGCTCACCTTCATGATGAGCCTCTGATTTGGGCGGCTTTTCCCCTGATACCCTTCTCCCCCAGCTACCTCACCATCTATGGTGGCAAAAGAGATTCCTGACCTGCCGCAGCAGCGCTGCCAATAGCCTGTAGAGTTGAGCGGCCACTGCCTGTTCTTCGAATGGTGCTGCTACCCCCGTCTGAGTTCTGGTTTTCAATCTTGTGCTCTACTCGGGCCAGCTCCTGGATCACCTCCTGGTAGCGTTCCACGAACATCAGTTCCCCTGAGCTGGGCGAGGACTTGAGGTTGAACATGAATACCACCTGTCACAGGAGAGGAAGGAGTGTGGGTTGTGGTGGGCCCGCTGCGTTGAGGAATGTCTAGAGATATGAGATCTTGCCAAAGACTAGACTATGGTCCTCAGACATCTGCTTTGTAGGGTGGAAGAGCACTGAACATTCAAAAAGAAGACCAAATATAGAAATAACTCATAGAACTCAGCAAGAAAGCCACCAAAGCCCCAGTAGAAAATAGGCAAAAGATGTGGGCAATTTCAAAGAGAAAATACATATGACTAACACATCAAAGAAAAATGTTTTCCCTTATCAGTAATCCAGGGAATTTATGTAACATTAATATCATTTTGCATGTAGCACAATGACAAAGTGTAAAAATAAACCCTCAGTGGGTAGTGGTAGAATGAAGTGTCACAACCTGTTTTGAAAAGCAATTTGGCAATTTATAAAGCTTTAAAAACCTGTATAATCTTTAACTCAGTAATTTTTATGAGAACCTTTCTTTTTTTTTTTTTTTTTTGAGGAAGATTAGCCCTGAGCTAACTACTGACAGTCCTCTTTTTTTTTTTTTTGCTCAGGAAGCCTGGACCTGAGCTAACATCCATGCCCATCTTCCTCTACTTTATATGTGGGACGCCTACCACAGCATGGCATGCCAAGTGGTGCCATGTCTGCACCCGGGATTTGAACCGGCAAACCCCGAGTGGAACATGCACACTTAACTGCTGCGCCACCAGGCTGGCCCCTATGAGAACCTTTCTTAAGGAAATGATTCAAAAGGCTTAATACCTAAAGGTGATAATCTTGCCACTATTTATTACAACTATTACAAGGTTGAAAATAATCTAAATGTTGAGTAACAGGGGAATGGTCAAATGTACCTACTTGATCAGATTTTATAAGGTCACTAAAATCAGTTCCAAGGCAAATGCTTATATTATAATATGAAAAAGGCACATATAAAGGTCTAGAATCAAAATAATCTCTACTATACAAAAGTCATATATATCTTTGAAAAATATTGGCAAAAATATACTTTATCTTTAATATTGATTGATCTGGACGATAGATTTAAAAACAATTTTATTTTCTTGTTACTACTTTTTGGTATTTTCTTATAATACACACAACTGACTCTGTAACCAGGTTTAAAAAATAAAGCTTTTATTAAAAAAAGAAAAGATAAAAGCCTCAGGAAAGGAAAAGACGGTGAGGACATTTAGGGGTAAAGCATCGGGCAGTTCACAGCTGACTTCCTCTGGATGTGGGTGTAAGAAAGGCTGGCAAGGGTCCTATCCTCCCCAAAGGGTCAGAATTATCATTATCATTAAAGTATAGGATCTAAAAGGATCAGGGGAACTTAAGCAAAGATTATCCCATCACCTAGATTTCTCCATGATCTCAACAATGGACCTCACATGAAAGGAAAATTCTGACCTACATGTTAAAGGACCAGCACAAGTGTCATAAATATATTCAGAGAGTTATATAGATAGATAGAAATATATCCAAAAAATTATAATACTAGGCTTTTATGCTATTAAATTTAAGCAATAGAAGATTCTTGCATTTCTCACAGCTTGTACATAATCCTTTTAACATTCCCATGAGGTAGGACGAGCAGGTATTACATTTAACTCCAATTTTCAAACGAGGACATCAAAGCTCAGAGAGGGTAAGAATCTTTCTGATTTCTACTCCATGCACTTTTCCCTCTAGAACATGAACACTCTAGCTTGCTAGACCCCTATACTTCTTACATATTGAACTGGCATTTAGTTACTATTAAAAATTGTCTGCATCATAAATTATAACTATATAAAAACATGTATGTATTCAGAGAAGAAGTACAAGGAAAGAAACAAAAATATTTCCATGTTTTGAAGTGGTGGGATTGTGGCCGAATATTTTCTATTATCTTGTTAAAACACTGTTTATATTAAGAAAACAAGCAGATGATTCAACAGCTTAAATCCCCTCCAGGCTGGGTCTTGAAATCCACAATGCTGAAGACTGGGCTTGGTACATGGAAACTTTCTCCTGCAGAAGGAGGATGTGGTCCCTTAAGGGCTCCCGAGTGGCTCTGCTTGCACATGCATCTAGATTTACCTGAGGCCCAGCGGGCTCCAGTTAGCTACGGGCTGACTCCGTGAGGAGGTATGGCCGCACAAGCACTCTCCTCACCTGATGGGCTTCTGCAAAGTTCCCCCGGAGGATGCAGGATGCCAGCAGAGACTCAGGTGGGGAGAACATCATGGGGATGAGCGAACTTTGAGGCTGGGGCTGTAACCTGCCATCCAGCTCATTCCTCCCAGACACAGTGCTCAGACTTCCCTCTGTTGGGATGCAAGAATGCAGGGGGCAAAGGAAGCAACAGAAATTGAGGAAAAACTATACTGCTGTCACCTCCCGCCAAACTCCTATCTCCTCAAAGTCCTTCTCTAAAAGGTCTGTAAATGGTCTTTATTTTTCCTTAACTGAAGGGAAACCTATACTATCATCTTTGAGTATGAGACTTTCATACCAACTACCTTCCTTGGGCATTCACCCATTTTTCTCTGCTGATGGGCAACTCAACTGACAGCGAGACAGCCCCTTCTCTTTTCCCCACTGAAATATCTCTGGCCAGCTGCAGAACCAACCTTCCTGAACGCGGGCATGAAGTGCTCAGTCTGGGTTTTCACACCATGGTTTATGGCAACTCTTATCAGGGCAAAGCTGCTTGAAGTTGGCCACTGGTTGGGACCCCCATACCTGAAGTACTTGTGCTCAGGTCACTACTCGTACTTTCCAGGGATGGATTGGAACCTCTGTCCCGGCCATCTAGAAGTATTAAGAAGAGAGAAAATCAACCACCAATGCCTCACAGTGTAGAAAGTGAGAAGTTGGCTTGAAGGCCAAGATCTAGGTAGTTAGTGAGTGGATAATGGGTAACTGCTACACTTGCTGCTCCTTCTACAGCAAAAGGCAAGGTCCTAAGGACCAAAGGTGAGGGCTGTACTTAATAGGCCCCGTGCGCATCTGGGTAGTAGCTTATACCAGTGGTTTCCAACCTCTGGTCTCAGAGCCTCAGGAGCTTTCAAGTTATTTCTAGGAGTCAGCGACCCCCATCTGCTCACTAAGCACTGTCAAAGTCTGAAAAAAGAAAAGCACAACTATTATGACCAGGAAGAAGGAGGGTGCAAAGGAGCATCACAAAATTTTCTGACAAAGAAAAAGTTGTCCTCACACTTAAAAACGTAGGGAACCAAAGTATAAGAACTGGTCTGCCAAAGACCACAATATTTAAAGGCCCGGAGGAAAAGCTTCTCAAGGCCTGCTTTCCTGATGAGCTAGGGCTTGCGATGGAGGCTTATTAGTCCTTATTGTGGGATTCAAGGGCGATATTGGCCCTGTGCGAGGGAGTCTCCTTGGCTCACTGTTTGGAAAGGAACAGACAGAAAGGAAACAGAAGAAGGATTGTACATTCTTGGGCTGGATGGATCAAGTGGATGCAAACTGTGCTTTCTGACTCAAAACAATTAATTGAGCAGCTTAAGGGCCTTAGCAACTCAACGTTGAAGTTTTCCAGGTCTCTCTCACGGTATCCTCCACCATCCCCAGTATGCTTACTTTTCTCATTGCCACTTAGCTGGAACTTACTCATTCTTTTGAGCTTGGTTCAAGAGTCAACTCTTCCATAAAAGCTGTTTCCCTGATCTCTGGAGGCTATGCTGATCTCTCCTTCTAAGAGACTTCTGTTTCCAGGCAGTCCCTCAGTGCAGTTGAAGTTTTTTATGTATACTGTCTTTGCAGGTAAATTATAAATTCCTTAAAGGCAAAGTCCTGGTTTATGACTCATTCACCTCCCTCAAGATACCTAGTATTGTTTAGCACATAAGACAAATCTTACAAATTCCCTGTTAATTATTTAAAAATGACACCAAAAGCCATAATGGAAATTTGATTATCTAAAAATTTAATACTCCTGTGTAATGCTCCTGTATTAAACTCCTTAACAAAAACTCATAATCAAAGTCAAAAGACAAAATGGAGAAAAAATTGTAGTACATAATGACAGAATAATTTCCTTAATATATAAAGAGTTTCCTACAATTCAACAAAAAAGACAAACCAATAGAAAATGTGGATCTTAGACATGAAAAGGCAGCTCACAGAAAAATATAAATGGCCAACAAATATGTGAAAAGATATTCAATCTTAAACTAAAAATTAATATTAAAACAATGACACACCAGTACTATATTAATCATATTGGCAAAGATTTTTAAAAATCTGATACTACTTGTTTTTGACGAATGTATGTGCAAATAGGCACTCATATACAGTTGGTGAGAATGTAAATTGGTCTACCTTCTTTTTAGGCAATTTGGTAATATCTATGTTTTATGTCCACATTCCTTTGACCTTCTATTCTACCACCAGGGACTTATCCTATAGATATACTCACAAGTATGCAAAGACATATGAGCAAGGTTGTTTACTGTGGCATTGTTTATAAAAATAAAAAACTGGAAACAATTTAAATGTCCACAAAAGGATACATATGACAATGGAATACTAAGCAACCTTTAAAATAGTAAGTGGAAAAAAGTAAGTTCTCAATATATAGTATGCTACATTTGTATGTATAAAAGGATATAAGTAAAAAGAGGAAGCCACAGTTCTCAACATATATCGTACATATAGTATGGTGCATCTGTACATATAAAATTATATATGCTTGTATTACATGGAAAGTTTCTGGAAGGAAACTACTAGCAAGAGTTACCTTGGGGGGTGAGACTAGGCTGATCTTAGATCACTTTTGTTTGTCTGTTTGGACCACGTACTTTATCTTAAAGAATATTAGACAAGTGGCAGTATACCGCTTGCCTGGTGCATGGGAACGAGGCATGGGGAGAGCTCTTCAGATTACCTGCCCGGCTCCTTCTTGTCCGACGACCCCGGCGGAGACTGGGGTGCCGTGTGGCAACAGGCCGGTATCTTCGGGAAGGTTGCTCCTCTGGAAGAGCAGATCCAATGGGTCATACGAGAGATTAATCAATTTTGATTTGACTTACCTCCTGGGGCAACAGGTAGGGGAAGATTTGGACTGAGGTCTGAGACATGGTTGTGCTACTGGTTACTATGGTGATATGCCCTGAGTTAATGGTGTGACTCCCATGCACTCTTCGCTTTCCCACGTAACTGGGAGTTTTCTCCCTCCCACTTTCTGCTATCCCTCCCACCAGTTCTGCTATCTTTTCTCACCTGAGCCCTGGTTGCTTGTTACCACCTTGTATCTCCACTGGGCCTCAGAGACAACCTTGGAAAACCGGTGCAGGCGGCTCGGCAGTCCATCTCTGCTTCCCGAGCAGCTCTGGCCTTCTAGCAGCTTTGGGTTTTCAGGGAGGTTATGGCTGCTGAGCTCATCCAGCTGCTCCTGGAGAAGCCTGAGGAAGGCCCCTATTGCAAATTCATCAGCTAGGAACCCAGTGATACCACTAGTAAAGTGCTTTAGGTCCAAAAAGCTGTGCCCTTGAGGCCCTGGGGAACTGTCTTTTGGCTCTGTCTTCAGACAGCTTGGAATGGTACAAGGAAGGCTCCTGGGGACTCCCAGGGAAGCCCGTTCTGACTTCCTCTCAGGCTGTGCTATGTGCTGAGGGCTCTCTGATGGGGACCTCAAGCCCAACTGGCCCTTCGCCTCAATGTCATCATCCTCAGCATAGTCCTCAGGCAGGTGAGGCTCTGGGTGAAGATCGGCAGAGGTGAGAAGGAGCAATGAGAAGATGTTTTCTAGAAGTTCCAGGCACAAAGAGTCAGGAATACTGCACAGATACTGTTGACACCTGGCCAGGTATGTTGAGAAGAGCCTTGAAGCACCTAAAGAAGCATGGTGAAGAGAAGAGGAGAGAAAGAGAAGAAAAGAGAGAAAATGCAAATATTAGAAAAAATACTTGCCAGACTCAAACCTTCTCACAACTTTAGCTCATTTATTTATTTTTTAATGACTAAGGGAAAGGTGGTTACAGTCAGAAGAATAAGAGACTATTCAGCCATGTCTTTTCATGATTTGCAGAAAGATTTTGCTACCCTAACTAAAAGTACAGATAAGCGAACATTCATTATTTTGTTTCTGCTTTTTAAATATTACATTTATTCCTCATCTTTGAGAAGCACTCCATATTTCAGTTCCTCGAATGAAGGTAGCATGGGACCCCGGACACCTCAATTCTATTTTCACTCATTGTTACACTAAAGGTGATCACAGGCTACCCAGATCTTTTAAGAAATACTCGCTGGTCAAAAAATGACCATGCTCAGAGGTGAAGATCAATTCTGAAGCTACAAGGGAGAGATAACTGACCACTAGTCGCAGAAGGCAAGCTAAGGAATTATAAGTTTATTAAGAAAAATGAGAGGTTAGGATATTAGGTTGGTATCTTTCACATGGTAGGATGGGAAATCGACTTAGACTTAAAAAAATGAAACAGAACAGAAACATAATCAAGAACATGCCCTTTGGAAGGGTAAGTATTGTTTCTCAAAACATTTCAATTTAAGTATCACTTATATACACATATACACATACATATATAAAGACACAAATTACATCCCTAGGTGCAAACTGGAGTGTGATGTGAAACGCTATTTTTACTGTGGATTGTAATTAAAAAAAAGCATTTAGAAAACACTGCACTATGGGGCTGGCCCCGTGGCCGAGTGGTTAAGTTCGCGCGCTCCGCTGCAGACGGCCCAGTGTTTCGTTGGTTCGAATCCTGGGCGCGGACATGGCACTGCTCATCAGACCACGCTGAGGCAGCATCCCACATGCCACAACTAGAAGGACCCACAATGAAGAATATACAACTATGTACTGGGGGGCTTTGGGGAGAAAAAGGAAAAAATAAAATCTTTAAAAAAAAAAAAGTGACCTTTAAAAAAAAAAAAAAAAAAAGAAAACACTGCACTAGGTGATCAGACTCCATTAGAACTTAGGCAAACCACTTGCTTTCTCTGTGTCCCTTTGATTCATGGAGGCTGATAAATGGATGAAAATATTCCTGGGCATAATGAAACCAAGGCCACTACGCCCAATCCTGGTGGAAAAGGGCTCTCACACAAAGAATTCACTGGGACAGGGTATTACCAGCTTCCGCCAAGGATGAGGGGGAAACACTGTACCTGGGGAGGGGAGAGCATCACTCGTGGGCTCCACAGCTGACGCCAGGTCCTCAGAGGGACTGTCTTTGCATTCCTGGCACTGGGAGTGCTGGTGTGAGTTCACACAGAGGGCATAGATGGCATACTTCATGGCACAGAAGCTCCGGTAGAGTGTCAGGTTCTGGCACTGGCTGAGGTGCTCAGGGGCCAGGGTATCTGCCGAATCTGAATTGTAGAGGGAAATACGCAGAACTTCAGAGCTGATTCTTTCAGGCATGGGCTGCAAGTACGGCTGAAGCAGAGAGCTGCCGCACTTCTAGGTCCCTAAGTGCTCTCACCCTTTCTCCTTCCTGTCAGTTTGACCACCATCCCTTCCAGGCCTTCTCCTCTGGTCAACGTCAACCTTCAGTCCCTTCCACTTCCTTTTCCCCACCACCCTCCCTTCTCCATGTCTGTTCGACACAGCCCTCATGGCTTTTTAATAGGTCTTTTTCTTATATTTCTTAAAATACTTGTTTTTCCTTTGCTAAAAAATCAAAACTTAGAGCAAATGTTTAGTCTACCTAGTACCACATTATCCAAAAGGTAGACTTAAAATGTATCTAGATTGAGTGATGAGAGGAAAGGCAACAGAAACTTTTTTAAAAAAGATGTGATACTTTTAAGAAGGGGCCAGCCCTGTGGCCGCGTGGTTAAGTTCTCATCCTCCACTTTGGTGGCCCAGGGTTTGCCAGTTCAGATCCTGGGCACGGACCTAGCACTGCTCATCAGGCCATGCTGAGGTGGCGTCCCACATAGCAGAACTGGCAGGACCTGCAACTAGCATATACAACCATGTGCTGGGGGGCTTGGGAAGAAGAAGGGAAAAAGAAAAATGAAGACTGGCAACAGAAGTTAGCTCAGGGCCAAGCTTTAAAAAAAAAAAAAAGAAAGCACTGAAGCAGACATCATGGGGAAAAAAAATCACAAACTCTTTTGAAATTCCTTGTACTTGTTTAATAATTTATAATTTCTCATTTAAAATTTTTTTTTAACTTTAGGAGGGAGGGCACCATAATCTTTACAGGGTCTCTAGATATCTAAATCTGGCCCTAATTCTTTCCATAACAAAAGAACAATCTGCTCAAAAAAAGAAGCATTAAATGTAGTAAAGCAAAAAGAAGAAAAAAAATCACCCATGATCCTACCAGCTAAACACAATCACTGTAACATTCTGGTTTAACCCCTTTGGTAGTTTTGCATGTGTGTGTGTGTGAATGGTTAAGTTACATATAATGACATTCTCTAAACGATTTCATTTTCCTACTTCTTAACCCATTATAGGAAAAGCATTTGATTATATTTCTTCATAAACTAAATTTCTGATGGCTGCATTTGTCCTACTGAGTGAATCCCTCACTCAGGCAAATTCCTCTTGGGCAGGACTGGGCATTGCAGTAGTTAGGAATGTTTTGCTACTAGGATGCTGCAATAAACCCCTTTAATACAGGCTTCCTAGTGATTACTTCTTCTAGGAAGCTCAGCCTTGCCAAGGTCAGGGTAAGAAGCAGAATGAGACCAATATGGTTCTATGCTCCTGGCCTCTACATGGCATTACGCCCAGGCCCAGGACCTGCAAGTACTTGCACCAGCCTGAGAGGGATTGGCTCCTTAAATTTTGTATTCTACATGCTTCTCTTGCCTCATCCTAGTCCCAGCCCTATTAATGTTCCTCTTTGCCTTTTCCAAGTTTAAATTCTAAGTGTGTCTTGGTGGGTCACAGGGATCAGACATAAAATACTTCTTTGAAAGCCTTTTGTACTTGTATGTAGAAAACAGAGAGCTCCACTTCCCTTTAGGAAATCTGCTAAACAAGTTGCCTATCTCTCCAGAAAAAAAATAGAATGTAGTAACACCGGTTTTCCAATTAGTGGTAGGTCCTTCTTAAAAGGAAATCAAAGCAATATCTAGGCTGAGAAACATCTACTGCTATATGAGAACATTTGTTTCTCTCACGGGTAAGTGTCCCTGGCCCGCATGGCAGATTGTGACTACACTACGATATGACTTTTGAGAGCAAAAAGAGCTTGTTAATGGAGACTTGAATTTTAAGCAAAGATCTAAAGTTAAAACAAGGCTTTGCTATTGTTTTAGGCAAGTCTTTCTTCTAAACCCCTTTATCTGATAAGGAGAGTATCAAGAAAATATGGGAGTGAAGGAAGGCACAAAATGTACTATGAAAAAGTTTATGAAGCGTGGAAAGACTCATCAAGACTTTGCATAAACACTGCCAATGACAATGTGGCAAATTCAGAGGACATTTCCTAATTCTGTTTCATCGGAAAGAAGGCATGCTAGTGGTTCTGAGATGGTTCCATGAGGACAAGGGTTCTTATGGGACTGTGCTCACAGGATTCCGTACACCACACCAAGAAAGGGAAGGAATGCCCCTACATCCTATAATCTGATGGAAGCAAACAGCAGTAATTTAGAGGGCACCTGCTGGATGACTCATCCTGACAGATCCCAGGAATCACATCTAGATAAATCTTGTGCTGGAAGAAACATGTGTAAGATTGTCCTAAGAGAGAACCCTGAAAGTCACTCCATCATCAACTCACCATGCTGTTGCTGGGGGTCCCTGGCTGGCACCTTTTGTAGGAGCTTGAGAACATCTTCCTCCCTGAGGGCTGGAAGGTTTGTAAGGTGATGGAGAGAGTAGAGCACTGAGTGGCTGTCTCCACCATGTAAATGACACAAGAGATCTCTCTTTGGTATGGGGTTGCTGAAAGAGATAGTTGGGAGGATGGAAGGGAAGGCAATTTATACAATTGCTCTGAGAAAGACCAAGCTTGATTTCCTCTTGTGCTTTCTCTCTGGCCCATAACACCGCAGGTATCACTTCCCCAAATACTAAATTTCAGTTGGTCTAGGATAGAGCATAGCATTTATTTACCCTCAGGGAAGTACATCATCAAGTCAGCCTTATTTCTATAGAAAAAAACCTAGCAAGGGCCTTATTGGTCTAGAAAGGGCCTGCAGATTAAGCTTCCCAATTTCTGTATTCTTCCTAGCTCAGACCTGACACAAGCTTCTCTGGCTTTACTTTGAATAAGGGCCCCTCCTTACTTCCCCCTCTGCCTACTCTCCTTCAGGAAGTGCTGGTGAGGTGGGTGAAGCGCAAAAGAGGAACCTGGATGTAGGGAAGACCTAAGGCTAAGTTATCAGGGAAACATGGCTTCGCATATGGTTCAATAAGCAGTTGTTGAATAAAAGTGTGATCCAGGATAACACATGGTTAAGAATGTGGATTGTGTCTCTTTGGTCATGTTATTTAACACCTCTGTTGTCCCACCTTTAAAATGAGGACAATATTGGTATCTACCTCATACGATTATTGTGAGGCTTAAATGAAATCATCCATGTAAAGAGCTTAGAGCAATGCCTCACATATAGTAAGTGTTCAGGAAATGTGAGCTATTGTTCTTTTTATCATCATCCTTAAATTATCCTCTAGTTGTGACCTTATGGCTATAGTGAAGATAATCATGACTTATGTTTCTTTCCTGGTTTCATAGTTGGAATAATCATTAATTCCTGGTCAACATTACCAACTCAAAACATTTATGTGGAAGATGCCTTGAAATGGCCACACACGCAGAGCACAGGTCAAGTGTGCCCAAGGGTGAGAAGGGGCTGTCTGCACAGGGCCATACCTGCTTTGCTGAACACACCACTCCAGCACCTCCAGGTGAGCCCACAACCCATCACAGGCATCCCTGAGGAGCTTATCACAGCCTTGGTCCTGTGTTGATATGGGAGAAGAAAGAGATGCTGATTCAGGCACTTGGGGTCAAAGGTTGTGACTGACTTCAGGACTCCACATTCTGTCTCAGCCCAAAGCCCCACAGCACTTGCTTCCAGAGCAGCTGGGAGTGCAGAGCAAGTTACCTGGGTCCTGTGGAGTGTCTGGAGTAACCTCTTGGCTGCTGCTAGGCTCTGGCAATGTGTCCAGCCCAGGAGCACGAGCAGTCGACTGAGAGGCTTGAATTCTCTATCTAGTAGGCTGCCAAGACTTGGGAAGTCTTCCTCTTTCAACAGCGTTAGCGCTGTCACCTGTAAGCCAAAGGAGGCTGCTATAGGCAGCTACTTGGACTAGAAAGAATGAGTCCAGCTGGCTGCTCCTTAGGGTGAGAAGCCTTTTAGTATAGCAGGGAGATTTCTGACAATGACAGAAGTGGCCTGATGAATAAAAAATGTTCATGAAAACACCAGGCTATAAGCTCCTTGAAGGCAGGGACTGACTTCTGTTGTTAACCCCAGCTCCGGCACAGTATATGGCACATAGAATGAGGTTAATAAATATCTGTTGAATTAAACTGAAGCTCAGTTACAATCTGAAAGCAGAAGGTAAACTATTAAATTCTCTCGTCAGGCAACATGTTGCTGCCACTGTCTTTTCTTCTTCACATCCTTCAGAAAGCTACACGTATCCAACATTTTAGTTCCTGCCAAGGGACGGATATAAAACGACTGCGGTTCCAATTCTGAATTGGAGCCCTTTTCCCCTAGACTGTGGATGGCCGGGACAAAATGACTCACCACTAATTAAACTGCTTTGTGTTGGATAAATTCGTGGGAGAGAAATGAGGAATGAAAAAGCCTGGAGAGAATCCCTGGGTACTTCTGTGAGGAAGAATAATTAAGTTTGACTTACCAAGATCTGCTCGAGGAAGTGCTTGCTGTTGCTCAGGCAGTAGAAATAGGCCAATTTCCAAGCCTGGGCTGGATCAGCATTGGAGAACAGGACCAGCATTGCCCGCTCGGGATCTAGATGATCTGGTGAGACTAAATATCAGACCAGAAAGGATTATTAGGTAGCCAGGAGCTCTTCTTTCCTAATCTAAAGCCCATCTGAAGCACCAACTGATCTGACAGTTCACTCTTAAAACCTTAAACCAGGTTTTCTATACTTCTGTCTTAAAGATTTTACTTCTCTCAGCAGCTTCTGAAATGCTCTTTCCTGCTATTTCTATTATTTTACTATTTTTTGCCATCACTCCATCTTAGACTGCAAAATCTGTGCTTTTACAAAAGAACATCTTGGGGCTGGCTCAGTGGTGCAGCGGTTAAGTGCACATGTTCTGCTTTGGCGGCTGGGGGTTCGCTGGTTCAGATCCTGGGTGTGGATATGGCACCGCTTGGCAAGCCATGCTGTGGTAGGTGTCCCACATATAAAGCAGAGGAAGATGGGCACAGATGTTAGCTCATGGCCAGTCTTCCTCAGCAAAAAGAGGAAGATTGGCAGCAGATGTTAGCTCAGGGCTAATCTTCCTCAAAAAACAAAAACAACCTCTTACCCATTTTTGCTTAGCCTCTCCCATTAGATTTCCTGAGCAACATGGAAGGCACCAGCCTAGAGGGACTTCAGAGAGGTTGGGCATAGTGGAATTACCAACACACAAGGAGAAGCAGCAAAGGGAACACACCTTTTCCGGAGGGCTTGGTCTTCTGTGGCTTTTCTGTGGCCTTCTCTGCATAGATATGGCCGTATAGAGAAACCAGGCCCTGTCCGGCCCTGTGCAGCAGGCAGCTGAGCAGTCGTTCCTCCTGCAGTGGACTCCCCTCAGACCGGCAGGCCTCCAGTAGCTCTTCACACAGAGTACGCAGCTCAAGCCCGAGGGGCTCTACAGGGCAATGCAGGGTCCGCAGGGCTCCATAGATGGCATCTACTACCCCAGGGGGCCCAGCAGCAGGGCCCTGCAAAGCTCGTAGTGCCTTTTGAATGAGGTCCACCAGTGCCTTCTGCAGACGCCAGCCACAGAGGCCAGTGCCATCATTCTCCCTAAGCAGAAGCTCCAGCAGGGCCTGTGCCGGCTGGGGAGCCTGCCTCAGAAGATCCCAGAGCACAGAGACAGCTTCTAAGCTGAGCTGAGGGGTCCGGTTCTCTTGCCTCTGATTTCCATCAAGCCCAGGGCCTACTGTGTCTTGTGCTAAGACCTCATATAGCTCCTAAATAGAGGATGAAGAGAGGGATAGGTGGTGAGCACATCTAGAATGTTACTATTTGTATGCTTTGATGTTTTCCTCTTTTCAGTACATATATGTATGTGAGTGTATATATAAGAGCAGCCGTAGCAAACACTTCTGTAGTAGTCACCACAGGCTCTTTACACAGAAAAATCAAATTAATCCTCATGACAACCTTAAACGGACACTACAATTAGCCTCATTTTGAAAATGAGGAGATTGAGGCAAAGAGAGATTAACTCAATTGCCCAAGGCCTCCATGCCCAGGCTAGTCCCCCCCACCCGACCCCACACCTCCCACCACTGCCTCCAAAATGTGCACTGTCAACCTAAATCAGGGACTGCAAACTCACAGACCAAGCAGGTGACAAATGGCATAAGACGTTATGGCCATCTCAAGGCATTTAAATTCAATTTTTAAAAGAACATTTCACACCAATTTTTAACCCTGGTCTAAATCTTTAGCCATGCTTTAAGGTCTAGCTCAATCCTTATCCTTCTATAAAGCCTCCCTTCCCCAATACCTCCAACCCACACACTCTCCCTCTATTTATTGGGCTTTCAGTACCAACACTAGTGCTAGTACCACATGGTTTAGTACATAATTGTCTCACGTGTGTACCAGTCATTCTCCCCAACTAGACTGCAAGCCCTTAAGGCAAGAAGTGCTACCTGTAATTTGTGTGCAGAGTGGGAGTAGGGGGAAGGGGGTGGGGAGGCAGGTGATTTCCCACACTTTAGCACCATGTCCACGGATGGCGCTCAGGGATGCTTCTTCATTAACTGCTTCCGAGATGGTCACAGGACCATGAGGTTCTTGATCTAATACGTGTGAAAGTCCCTGCTTTAAATCCTATTGTAAATATGTCTTTAATTAGCTGCCAGACAGGTCATGAAGAAAATAAGTATTGAGCCTCAGAGCACACCCTCAGGCACTTAAGTATAGATATAGTTAAGACTTAGTTTGAATCCGCCCCCAGACGGTTGTTGTGAGGGTTAACTATAACATATCCAGTGCCCCTGTTACAGAAGTATTCAACATACACTAGTTCCTTTCTCCCTTTACATTCCCAATCCCTATCTTGGAAAAAATTCAAACACCTAGTTTAAATCTAAGTTATGCATTCCTTTTTCATGAAACAAAAAAATCTTTAATCTCTAGCCATACTTAGTATTTCTGGACAATCCACCTCTAAGAATTCTAAAATCAGATAAGGTTATCCTACCTCTAAACTCCCCTCAGAGGGGCCTTGACCTAGCCTGGTCTTGCCTGAGAACAGAGTATAGCTAACATCTGGGGACCCGTCTCTGCTGGATCCCTGGATGTCAAGCTTGCTGAGTGACTGTAACCCTGGGTGGATGGCTCCAGAGCCCTCTCTCACCTTGAGGATGTCCTCTGGAATGTCACCTTGGAAGTCTTCTGACAATAAAAGAAACTCAAGCTTTCTCCGGAGAACAGTTGGGAGTAACTTCTGGAAGAATCATAAGAAGGAAGCATAAAGATTAGGCATATGCTTTAGTTAAACTACAAGTAAATATTTCTCTCCACTTAGTTTCATTTCTGCTGTTTCTCTAGGATAAAGTACTTCTAACTATTAAATTCTCGGATATGTTTTCAGATATTATTCTTTATAAATGAAATTGCTAAACTTGGATGCATACTCTTCTTAAATACTAACACTTAAACCCCACCCTGCTCAGCCTCAAACTCCAAGGTTTACTCATTTCACGGGATTTTTTCCTGTCACTTGAAGTTTTTCTCCAATAATCTCCCTTGCAGTTTCCAAAACACCCAGTTATGGGTAAGCCTGGGATGGAATGGCCCACGTGATCCCCCTTTGGTCCAAACCTCTGTTTTCAGTATTCATTATCAGTTGGAAAATAAAAGTAAAGAAGAAGAGATCTAATGTTTATTAAACACTTATCATGTGCCAGGTACTGTGTGCCATATTTTCACATATTTTAAAAATCTCATTTAATCTCTAAATCAAACAAACCTGTGGCATAAGCATATATTTTAAAAAGTAATCTTTACTAAAGATGAAACAGTTAGGAAGTATTTTCAATTATCTCAAGCGTGAAAAGAAAATGTGATCCCAGTGTCTGTTAATGAGACATGCCAGCAGAGAAGGCTAATGTACAAAGGAGGAGAACGGCTCTGAGTCTTCCTGTATTTCCTTGTTTCACAATAACTTCCCCTCACCTGGTCCTTAAAACTAAAATTAAAGTCTCCTTTTCTCCAGACACAAATACAAATAAGATTAAAGTCTGAGACTAATCCTGACAAACACTGCTTTAAATTAGAGCACCTGTAAATCACGCAGCTGGTTAAAGCTTCCAGAACATGGGTTTTATTGAAAAGTCTCCTGACTCAAGGCAAGAAGCACCTGCAGGAGTGTGAGAGAATGTGCGTGTGTGTGTGTGTGTGTGTGTGAGGGGGCTTTAGAACACAAAATCACACTTACTTTATTCATGTGCCACTCATCACATCAGAGGCTAACATGATCTAGCGTGTTCTTAGTCCAAAATCCTGCTTCTTCTTACCATGCCCTTCCCTAGTGAACCTACGCCATCTGAACGCTCGTATGATACTAGTGATTGGAAGTTGGTGGAGAAAATTCATGCTGGGAAGCTGGAGGTTAGCGCTTCTCTTGAGAACTAAGAGGAAGGAATAGATAAGGCCAGATTGCAGGCCTTTAATAAAAGAACAAGTCTGGTTAGATTTTAGGACTTTCATCTAGAATCCTAAAGACTGATTAGCTTATATTTATTTTACTGGTGAAATTACCTTAAGCATAGCCAAGGTCATAAATGACTAACATTCCTAAAGCAGGCAAGAATGGCTCAATGTTTCCAAGCATAGACTTTCTTACTATAAAAGCAAAGCATCTTCAATGTAGAAAAATAGAATATGCAAACAGGCAAATGAAAATACACACAAACACCCTCCCTCCCCCAAATCTTCCCACTGAAAGAGAACTACCATTAATACTGTGGTCTAAGGACATTCAGACCATTTTCTGTGCGTGCATTACCAAATGTTCTGTTTATTAAACTTTTTTTTCTCACAAGGTAGAGTATGAACATCCTTCCACATCACTGAAAATTCATTTACCACGTAATTTTAATAGTGGCGTGGTATTTTATAAATAGATATACTTCCATTTATTAACCAGTCCTGTACTGTGGACGTGGGAGTTGTTTCCAGTTTTCCTCTATTAGAAGCAGCACGGCAGTGAACATCTCTGCAGCTAAATCTTTGCACACATGCTTATAGACGTAGAGATGACTCACTACAAGATAAAAAGGCAGGGGCCGGCCCTGTGGCCGAGTGGTTAAGTTCGTGCGCTCTGCTTCGGCGGCCCAGGGTTTCGCTGGTTCGGATCCTGGGTGCTGACATGGGCACCACTCATCAGGCCATGCTGAGGCGGCGCCCCAAATAGCACAACTAGGGGGACCTACAACTAAAATATACAACTGTGTACTGGGGGGCTTTGGGAAGAAGAATTAAATAAAAAAGAAGAAGATTGGCAACAGTTGTTGGCTCAGGTGCCAATCTTTAAAAAAAAAAGATAAAAAGGCAGAAGGCAAAAATGGATGAAGGAAAAATGGAATCACTGTTTCAACTAATTATTAAAAAGGAAGTTTTTGGCAGAAAGTGGGAGACTGGCAAAGGATTGACAGCCAGCCAGCAAGCAAGACAGCAAGACGGTGCCTACAAGATGAGGGCCACTCCAGGATAAAGACGGGCCATGTAGAACTACTCCAAGAATGCATTTGGAGTCTTTTATTTTTTTTGAAGATTGTTGCCTGAGCTAACAACTGTTGCCAATCTTCTTCTTTTTTTTCCCCCTGCTTTTTCTACCCCATCCCCCCAGTACATAGTTGCATATTCTTAGTTGTGGGTCCTTCTAGTTGTTGCATGTGGGACGCCACCTCAACGTGGCCTGATGAGCGGTACCACATCCACGCCCAGGATCCGAACCGGCGAAACCCTGGGCCGCCGAAGGCAGAGGGCACAAACTTAACCACTTGGCCACGGGGCTGGCCCGTGAAGTCTTGATCCTTGTATAAACCTTGAAAATTCTCTGAGGTCCTGTATAAAGTTTAAAACATTCCCACAACTGTTTAAATAACTGAGGCATGGAGCTTTAAGGACCAAATGATCTTTGATGCTGGGAAAAACAAGAATAACTCTTAGAGTGTGCTAAGCAGCCAGGGAAGTGAAATCCACCACCTGATCCAGTTGAGCAACTGTCCAGAAAATAAGGAACCAATCAGGCATAAAGTAAGCAAATACTCTCTTGTGAGGGGAAAGTTCATCTGGCTTGACAAATTCCATGTGTGTATTGGGAAGATCCTTAGTCAGGAACATAAGACATACTTTTCTTTTTCTCTTTGAAGATAGTATTGAATATTTTAGCTCAAGTTTTCTCTTTTAGATCTGAACCTATAGCCAACTCAATCATCTTGGGGTTGACTATTTTTTTTTTTTAAATTTTTTTTTTTTAAAGATTTTATTTTTTCCTTTTTCTCCCCAAAGCCCCCCGTACATAGTTGTATATTCTTCGTTGTGGGTCCTTCTAGTTGTGGCATGTGGGACGCTGCCTCAGCGTGGTCTGATGAGCAGTGCCATGTCCGCGCCCAGGATTCGAACCAACGAAACACTGGGCCGCCTGCAGCGGAGCGTGCGAACTTAACCACTCGGCCACGGGGCCAGCCCCGGGGTTGACTATTTTTTAATTTTGCTTCTCTTTCGTCCCTCTCCTGCTAGTCTTTTTGTCATTTCTTTTTGCTAAACAATTGGCAAATTATCTCTGGTAATTTGATAATTAGCAATTATCTCATCCCTGAATAAGAGCTCCATTTAGATTAGTAATTTCTGTTACTTTTTGACAGCTATGTGGATAAGGGTAAGTCTAAGGCAAAATGGAACTAAAGACAAAATTAATTCTGATGACTGAGGGGGTAAAGAAGAAAATTAGGCTAAATTATTGACATTTACAAAACAGAATTTTTGGTTTCCTACTTTAAGTCCATGAAGGCTAAAAATAACGTTGAGGTGGAAAAAGCAAAGGACTGGGGACTTGAAGTCAGAAGATCTTGGTTCCAGCTCTAGTTCTGCCAACTAACTTCATCGTGTGACCTTGGGCCAGTTATTTCTCTTGAGTCAGAGGTTCCTCACTTAAATCTTAAAGTCTGAGTTTAATACAGGATTGATTCAGATAAATTCTCTAAATGGATATTAATTTCTGATAATTATTACAAACTTCTAAAAAGGCTTTTAACGGCAACTTTTGTTTTTAAAAAAAACCCACTTCCTTACAAGTTTTCCTTCACTATTAATTTGCTTACTTTGTTTTTTATATTTGGTAACTTTTAGTTCAATTCATGTGAGTTATTAAATTACTAATTAATGAGGTTCAAATCTATACGATTTCACTGCACTGGACTAGTTAAAATAAGATTTATGGAAGAACCACCAGGTTCCAGTTCAGCCAATTCCTCATTACTTGAGAATTATGAGGCTTACGCTTTATTTGCTATCTTGTCACTATCACTGAGTTCTGCGAAGTTCTACTCAGGCACAAGACTCACAGTGGTATTTGACAAAATGGTATCACCTCAAATGGTATTACATGCCAATGTATGACCGTGAATTAAATAATGAATTTTGGTAAGGAGACAGCAATAAAAATTTAAGGCATTCTCACTATAATACTGGGAGAGGAACATGATAAACCTCATAAGGGAAGTAACAGATAGAAGGAAAATCTCATAACTACCCCCTAGTTCTTCTCAGTCTCAGCCTCAGGAGAAAATTTGAGATATAAACCTACTTACCTTTTCCCCCAACCATGTTTCCAGTACAAGAAGCCAGACCCAGGCTAATCTCTGAGGGTTGATGTCCTGTCCACATCTGAAAAATGTAAAACAAAAGAATTTCTAAACGAAGAGTTTCTACTTACCTTTTCTCTTTTGTGATCCAAGATTTAGATTTCATTGCTCAGTCTGTTTAAAACCTGAACAGGCAAGACACTGTTCTAATGAGAAATTTTCCAATGTATACAACAGATCAATAAAACCAGAACCAGAACAGAGCTGGCAGCTTTCACTTAAAAAAAAGAAAAAAAAAGAAAAAAAAGAAAATGTCTTAATCCTACCTCCACCTCCCTATCTAGTCTTTATTTTTATTTTTTTTACTTTTTATTTTTTTTGAGGAAGATTAGCCCTGAGCTAACATCTGCACCCATCTTCCTCTACTTTATATGTGGGATGCCTGCCACAGCATGGCTTGATAAGCAATGTGTAGGTCTGTGCCCAGGATCCCAACTGGGGAACCCTGGGCCACCAAAGTGGAGTGCTTGAACTTAACCCCTGTGCAACTGGGCCGGCCCCTAGTCTTTATTATTTTTAAACAAAACAATATTACATAGAAAACCATAAAGGCAGAGTAATCTAATGTATATTCTTGAAAATAGAAAGTCAATCAAGTAGTCTTAAAGAAAAAAAGGAAGTTCATAAAAATTTCTTTCTTTTAAAGATTGCCCCTGAGCTAACATCTGTTGCCAAACTTTTTTTTTCTTCTTCTCCCCAAAGCCTCCCAGTACACATTGTATATTCTAGTTGTAGGTCCTTCTGGTTGTGCTACGTGGGACGCCGCCTCATCATGGCTTGATGAGCAGTGCCATGTCCACGTCCAGGATCCAAACTGGCGAAACTCTGGGCCGCCAAAGCAGAGTGTGTGAACTTAACCAGTTGGCCATGGGCTGGCCCCTAAAAATTTATTTTTAACTCCATGCTAAAAACAGGGTTATAGGAATTCATAAGTCTTTCTTTGAAGTTAATATTTTAAATGAGACAGTAACTGGCTAGAATCTAAATTTAACGGAAAAAAAATAAAGGAAGAAAAGAATCATCTAAGTCTTCACTATACACGTGCTAATACAGTACTTAACCTGTATAGCATACCGCCAAAGTAAGAAAAAATGAGGGAGAGATTGGACAGTTCATTTAACTTGTATACCATTAGTTGTTAATAGCAGTGCCAGGAAGAACTTCATTAAGAATTTAGATAGAAAACAGTGGTTGCTAGGGGACAAGGAGGAGTCCAAATACAAAGAGGCAAAGAGGGAAAAAGGGAATTCTTCTGTGGTGATGGAGCAATTCTGTATCTTGATTATAGTGGTAGTTACATAGATCTATACATGGATAAAATTGCATAGATATTTGCAATTTCTACACACAAAAGTGAATGCAGATTAAAAAATGGTGAAAATGGAATAAGGTGTGTAGTCTAGTTCACAGTAATGTATCAGTGCCAATTTCCCAGTTTTGATATTGTACTATGGCTCCATGAGATGTCACAATTGGGGGAAGCTGGGGAAAGGGTACTCTTTGTATTATTTTTGCACTTCTTGTAAGTCTATAGTTATTTTAAAATAAAAAGCTTTAAGTGAATTCACCTCCAGTCCTTTGTTAAAGCTACAACAATATCTTCAATTTCATAAGCAAGAAGAGAGCAGGGTTTGCTTTTTGGGAGGCAAAGAAAATGCTTTTCAATGCAGTTCCACTATTAACTTTACTGATAATAAGCAAGAAAGAATGATTTCAGGCACATTTTGCTGGCCAGGCTTAACTGCAGCTCCAGGTGATAATTCAAAGCCAATATTGGTTAAGTAATAGACGTGTATTACAGAGGTAAATTTTCAGAGCATGTGAAATACAGTCTGCCTGTGCTAATTCTTCAGCGGATAGTTGAGTGAGGCACATTGAGCAGAGCCCAATATTGAACCTTGCGTCTGGCGCCCCGTAACTCTCCGGCAGGAGGAGAGATCCCTTACCTCAGCTGATTTGGACAGACCACCAGCGCCTGAAGTATATCTTCCACCTTCTTTGGGATATCCCCTTGTGCCTCGTGTAGCTGAGGCACACATGCCTGTGCCAACTCCCATTCTCCTCTTCGAAGGCACTCACAGAAAAATCCAAAAAGCTGCTTCTGGGAAGCAGTTTCCTCTTTTCCAAATGGATGATGCATTTTCCCAGCACAGAGTGCAGGGAGACAGAAAGATATGAATTACGCAGAACACATTGTCAGTTTTCTCATTCGTGGAGTACCTCCTAGAAACAATATCCACCAGAGTGAGAAGAAATGGAAGGAACTATATTTAAACAAACAAGCAACTACCAGCCCGACTGGGAAAGGCGGTACTGACTTTGCTAATTATCCTTGTAACTTTGATTTGACATGTTACTATCTCTTTTTGAGAAGTTCCACCTTCCCAAGGGGTGGATCCCATCGCTCTACGCGCATCCAATATTTAATTAACATTAATCGTCGTATTAGCCCGAGGCGCACACCCATAACTCCACTTCCGTATTCCCTCCTGAACTTTATGCCCAGTCCGTCTCCAAATCCCCAGGTGGTCGCCTCCTTAAGGATGAGAAATTCAGTAGGAACCTCCCTAGTTGGAGCCCTCTCTGAAGGCAGAGGATTGAAGATCAGGAGACGAATCTGTGTCAGAACTGGAGAGCGGTGGGGCTTGGGGCGCAGGGACGCTCCCTACAGGGGTCGTGGAGAACGCTTCCGCCTTCTCTGGGGCGCCATACACTCACCTGCTCCCGGCGCCCAAAGCAATAGAGCTTCCAGCGCAGCCATGTTTGAGCCGAGTCAGGTGACAGATCCCATTCGGGAGGTTGAGGAGGAGGGGAGAGTGGCGACCGACGGCGGCTACTCCTATTGGTCAATGGAGAGAAGATGCAAATAAAGCGCCATATTTGTTTAGGTCACGTGACGCCACCTCTGTGCACTAGAGGAAGCTAGGATGCTAGGAAAAAGTAAATCGGCCACCTTGCTAAGGACCAACCCTGTCAGTATTGACGGCTCCTCTGCTCAACACCTTCCTTTCTGCGTTCGGCAGAGTAGGTGGCGAGGATAGCTGTGTCCGTTGATTTTTTTCTTCCGTTCTCTTTTCTCCCTAGCGTTTGAAGTCAGCATTTACTGAGCGCCAACTTTTGCCAGGCCCTGGGGATACCCAGAGCAAGGAGACCTGGATCCTCCTCCACTGTTATTCTGTCCACTTGGGCTCTCGTATAATCCCAGAACCCTACCTTCTGAATTCCCATTTTTCTTCTGCTGAACTGCATTCATTTATTTTCTCGTTTGCCTGACAACTGTTAATTGATCGGAAAGCTAGGCCCTACTTTAGAAGGTAAATAAGATGCAGTCTCTGTCGTCAAGGAATTCACAGTCTAGTAAGGGGTGCAGGTCAATAATTAGGATACAGTGGGCTAAATTTTAAGATAGAGTTATGCAAAGGGAAGATGAGAGCAAAGAATGAGCAAAACCTTTTCGAAAATATAATATCCGAAACCGAGTCTCAAAGTAACAGTTTTACTAGGTTTCCTCATCACAGCTGCTTTTAAACCGAACCTTCATGTTCTTCAACTACAAACTCTCACGTTTCCCCATTGTGTTTTCAGTTTGAGCAATTTCGTTCAGCATTTCCCAAACTATTTCACCACCAAAGGATGGTGAAAAAAGCAAACCAAAACAAATCAAAGCTCTTTTCCAAAACCTCTTCTATGATAAGTGGATCGTAATCTATTTCCAGAAAACTAACATGCCTCTCTGGTCCCTTAAGCAATTTTTAAATGTAGTCACAAAAGAAAGAAAAGAGAAATTTCCAAGCAAAGTTTTTCCTTGCTTCATACTCTGCTGATGTTCCTCCACCGGATTTTGATAATTACTATATTGAGAAACTGACTGGGACTCCCAGATTTATTATAGAGTGTAAACTACATTTCCCAGCAAGCTGCGGAACCGACCTGGGCCTCTGCCTACCTCTGATTGGATATTTTGCCAGGATGACGACCCAACCAGCGCTTCGGTTGTTTCCCCGCGGCGCTTTCCGCGGGGAACTGTGTGAGGGGTGGGGGAAACTTTGAAAGTTGGATGCTGCAGACCCGGTACTGGAAAGTTTCCTGTGGGGGGCGGTTTTGGGGAAGTGGGGTGCGCTCATTGTTTCCTGCTCGCTCCCTGGGCATTGATATCGGGGAAGAGGAGAGTCACTGTTGGGTGCAGGCCACGCCCACTTAGGCTGGTAGTGATCTTAACCAAAACCCCGCCGCGTGACTGGGGGCTTCGGGCCTTCTTATGGGGGATGCTTGAAAAGTGCTCCTTGTTGGAAGAAACTTTTTTTAGGGGATTCTGGGGTGATGTTTTCGCTTCTTGATGCCCACCCATTCCTCCCACCTGCTGGCAGTTTGGGGTCTAGGCAGGGGAGCCCGTCATTAGGGGAAGTTTAGCGTCTGTCCCCCTTCATGTGGTGTTCAAGGAGAGGTAGTCAATAGCGTGGAATCTGGAGTCGGATCCTTTGATTAGAATTCGGACTCCACCATATGCCAGCTGTTAGACTTTGCGCAAGTTTTTCAACTCACTGCCTCAGTGTTTTTTTTTTTTTTTTAAAGATTTTATTTATTTATTTTTTTCCTTTTTTTCTCCCCAAAGCCCCCCTGTACATAGTTGTATATTCTTCATTGTGGGTCCTTCTAGTTGTGGCATGTGGGACGCTGCCTCAGCCTGGTTTGATGAGCAGTGTCATGTCCGCGCCCAGGATTCGAACCAACGAAACACTGGGCCGCCTGCAGTGGTGCGCGGGAACTTAACCACTCGGCTACGGGGCCAGCCCCGCCTCAGTGTTTTTAACCTGTAAAACGGGGTGAAACATCCTAAGCGCTTGGAACAGTGTTTGGCATGTTATATGGGCTCAGTAAATATGAGATTTTAGTTGCTTAACAGTTTTCATTGAAATCTAGCGAGGATTTTTCTTTTCTTGATGAGGAGAGGATTCAGTCTCCAGGGTTGACTGTCTTCCCTCACTCCCCATATGGGTGTGTGTGCGCGCACACACAGACACACACACACAGCAGGAACTTACTGTCTCAAGTGGAAGAAACAAACAGGCAAGCCGTAATAATGCATTAATAAGACAACCGAATAAATATATACAAGGTGTGGTGAGAACATTGGAGAGGAAGAGACTGAGTTGAGGGAAGGCTTTGTGGAGGAAGGTCAGGTAGGCCGGATGGCACATGAGTAACCTACACATTTACTGTTGTGGCTGGAGAGCAGGTCATGTGGGAGGTGGCCAGTGATGTTTTGCTGAATGAATGGATAATGATAGTGATCGTTAACCTTGAGCACTGTGTGCCAGGCACCATCCAAATCCTTTAACCTTCACTACATTCATGTAAAGTAGGTATTTGAATTACCCTTTGTTTTTACAGATGACGCAACTAAGACACTGAGAGGTGAAGTAACTGCCAGGAAGGCCAGGATCTGGGCTTTGCAATCAGGTATGAATGAGGGGGACGTGAGGGACCAGTTTATAAAGGGTTTTTTTTTTTTTTTTTTGAGGAAGATTAGCCCTGAGCTAACATCTGCTGCCAGTCCTCTTTTTGCTGAGGAAGACTGGCTGTGAGCCAACATCCGTGCCCACCTTCCTCTACTTTATATGTGGGACGCCTGCCACAGCATGGCTTGACAAGTGGTGCCATGTCCGCACCTGGTATCGAACCAGCGAACCCCAGACCACCAAAGCCGAACGTGCGAACTTAACTGTTGCACCACCCAGCTGGCCCCTATCAAGGGTCTTTATGGGATCCTAAGCAGTGTGGAATTTATCCTGTGGTCTGATGGTTCGATGGGTGGTTTTAAAGGATGAGAGTGACAGTATTGGAGTAACTTTAGTAATCTGGCAGGATTGTGGCACTGACCTGACTTTTGCAGGCCAGTTTTGTGCTTCCTCCCGTGTACTTCCACAGCACATTTAAATGCCATGACAATAGTTAATGGATGACTCTAATTATTTTTGTATACATTTCTTTTAGTCTATTACTGTGAGTTCCCCAAGGGGAGGGAATATGCTTAAATGGTTCTAGTATCCAGAGCTCAGCAGAGTGTGTACTTAAGTGTCAGGGGAAGGAATAAATGAAAAGATTTTCTTTTGGCTGGCAGGGAGTGACCAGAGACAGTAAGCAGTAGTCCAGGCAGTGACGAGAGTGGCGCTAAAGAGGCAGAGAGAGCAGAGTTGGTCATTGTTAAATTCCAGGTAAGGGGCCAGCCAGTGGCCGAGTGGTTAAGTTCACGTGCTCAGCTTTGGCTGCCCAGAATTTCACTGGGTCAGATCCTGTGTGCGGACATGGCACCGCTCCTTGAGCCATGCTGAGGTGGTGTCCCACACAGCGCAACCAGAAGGACCTACAACTAGAATATACAACTATGTACTGGGGGACTTTGGGGAGAAGCAGGAAAAAAAAAAAGATTGGCAGATGTTAGCTCAGGTGCCAAAAAAAAAAAAAAGAAAGAAAATCCAGGTAACTTGGGGTTTTCATTTTGAATGTATTTTTTTTAATGAATTTATCCATCTAAATGATGTCATTACCCAGAACTACCTGATTTGTAAAAGCACTACGTCATGATAGAGCAGATGCTGCTTGGTAAACTTTCTTTTGAGGAAACAGTAATCAATACTGTCAAATTCCCATTGAGAGAAACAATACATTTTGTATTTGTTGGGGGGGGTGTGTGTGTGTTGTGTGTGTGTCTGAGAGAGAAAGTTTCAATTCAACTGAGAGAATTTAAATGTTAAATGGAAAATTGGGCTGTTGTAATAGAAATAAACATCTACATTCTTAGTATATATTTTCGTTCCAATATAACTCCCTTTTCTGATAATTATATTGCTTTATCGCCTGACACAATGAAGAGTTCCTATTTCTACTTATCCACAGGATGTTTTGCCGGCTGAGTGAGACACACAGCCTCTCCTTTGTGTACACTATTACGGGACTCTCTTCGAGCTCTCTAAGGCAAATACTTTGTGAGCCTTATTTAGCTCTAGTGAGGTTCCACAAGAGTGAAATTTCATTGCATGTGGGAATGTGAGCAGCTAGAATAATAAAAAGACAATTTCAATTTGTACATAACACCTGAAATAAATCTCATTTGATTCAGAGGTTTGTTCTGACTCATAGGAAAAGGAGAGGTTAGATACGATTATGGACTTGTAGTAGAGTGTGATGGTTAGGAGGATAGGCCTCAGAGTCAGATTCCCTGGCTTCAGTTTATGAATCCACTATTTACTTTTTCTGATGATACTAGAATAGCTAACCTGTCCAGGCTTTAGTTTTCTCATATGTAAAAATGGGACCAATAATCAACCCTCCGTATAGGGCTGTTGAGAAGATTAAATATGATAATTTATGTGAAGCTTTGGAACTGTGCCTGGTATAGAGTAGGTGCTCAATAAACATTATCGTTACAGTGCAATGAAAGTAAATACTTTCTAGGAGTGCTGTTTGGAAATATGCCTTGAAGGCTAATCAAAGATCCAAATGAAATTTATAAATGCATTGAAAATCTTAAGATGCTATACAAATGTGAAGTGTTGTTATATTCATGTAATAAGTATCAAAGAATTGTGTGAAATGCACATTCTTATGTTGCCTTGTTTCTCTGTGCTCATGTTTGACAAACAGTTGTCTCTCCTGTTTAAAACATTTAGGAAGATTCTGTAGCCTTCCTTTATTTTATCAGTAATATTTTAAATACTATACATTGCATTTTGTGTGTGGACAAGTTTGAAGACTTTTTAATTGATACAGTGTTTCAGATAGCCCATCTACTATTGCTTATGCTATTTTCTGTTTTTTTCAGGGTTCTTCTTTTGCTGCATCTGGAGGCATGGGTAGCAAGAAACTAAGACGAGTGGGTTTATCACAAGAGCTGTGTGACCGTCTGAGCAGACATCAGATTGTTACCTGTCGGGTAAAATGCATTTAATTTTTCCCAATGAGAAACTTTAAGTACAAATTAATTTTAAGTATACCTTAACTCTTAAATAAGCCTTAAATAGCTAATAGTTGAAATATGAAAACTTATGTTTGTTAAAAAGAAGATAAATGGTGGTACTTCTTCATAGGCTAATTTCGAATAACAAGCCACTTAGGTTGTATTTCCAAATGTGGTTTCATTTATCCAAATTCAATATTTTTGTATTTCGGTGGGGGGAGATTGCTTGTGGCATAAGGTGAAGTACACCTGTGCCATTTATTTGGGATTCTAGAGAAGTTTTATCTACTTAAAAGATATTTTGTCGTTAGATGAGAAATCTGACTCAAATGAGATGGTATTCAAAATGGATAATTTTTCTTGAAAATAAGAGAAATTAATAGTTAGGGTCATTTTCCTGTGGTTGGGTTGAGAGAAATGTGTAGAGGAGATGTTGCATTTTTAAGCACGATAGTGAATCAAATCCCTCTTAGGAGGTTAAATAAGATTTAAGGTTTTATCTTAGGATTTAATCCCTAATAAGACAGACTTTCAGAGCCTGCTGCAATTTTAAAAAAATTGTTTTGTGTGTGATAACGATATCTTTGGTTCCTCTGTTATACATTTAGTAATCCTCGTGTTCATACTTTGAAACGCTCCTAAAAGTGTGAAATTTAACATTTCATTCCATAGTCAGTTTTATTCTCTCTCAATTATCAAATACTTCCTCCAAATGATCTCATAGCTTAGGAAGAAACTCATTTCAACCTGATGCTTTCTGGACATCTATTTGTGCCCCAACTCTTTGAGGCACAAGTGCAGTCTCTACACCCAGATTGGATGCTGCTGCTATGTGATGTTACATGGTGTGTCCTCTGGTAAATGCCAACTAAACTGGGTAATTACAGTGTATGGTATATGCCAACTAAATTGGATAATTATAGTCTAAGGCTATCATCATATCTTTTAGTTAAGGTATATTTAGGGGGAAAATACTATAAGGAACACGTAAATCTTTGATCTACAATAAATTTCACTTTTTTCTACACATGAACAGTGTCAATTGAAATTTTCCTTTTAATTCCAGTAGCTTTATTGCACATATATATTTAAAATATTCTGTTTATGTCTCTTTAGGACTTTTTATGTCTTTCTCCACTGGAGCTTATGAAAATGACTGGCCTTAGTTATCGAGGTGTCCATGAACTTCTGTGTATGGTCAGCAGGGCCTGTGCCCCACAGATGCAAACGGTATATATATATTTTTTTTACTACGATTTGTATTTTGAAATGATGCTTTATCTCATTTAAAATATTTTTGGGGATGAGGCAAAAGAAAAGATAGAGATGAACAACACCTCAAAAATACTGACTCTCACACCATAGAATGAGTTTTCTAATGAGAATATATGTGAAAATTTCATGTAGTTTATAAGCTCGTGGGAGACAGTTCCTAATTATGGGTATTAGGGGGCAAGAGGAAGTGTTTTCTCTGTAGCTGATAGTGATATTTCAAAAGGTCATCTTTCTCTTTTGTTGTTTGGGTAGGATTTGTGGACCTCATGGTTAAATTATAGTATATTCTTAATTTTAGAATGTTCCTGTCTCTGTTATACTAACTTTTACCACCATCACTTACTCCATATCATAAAGTACGCATGTTGGACTTATATGAGCTTATTGATTGAATAAATAACACTTAAAAATTTATCCTCACTCTTGAGAAGAGTTAAAGTCTTTTATAACAAGTCCTCATCAAGTTATACTATTTTTTTCATTCTTTCTACATTTTACATTTTCTACATTTTACGTTTCTACTTTTTATATTTTAGCTTTTAAAAATGTAAGTTTTGTGCATGGTAGAAAAGGTCTTGTTTTCCCAAAATAAGAGTTGCCTAAAAGTATGTTCAGTGCTTTGCAAATGTATTTATTTATGTGAATTGTAAATTACTTACCTTACTGTCTCATATTGAAATTTGATATCCACTGAGCAATAAAGTAGGGTGCAATTCTATGAAGGAGGAAGGAAGGAATGTTAGTGTCCTTTTAAACTTCTGAGGGGGCTGGCCCTGTGGCCAAGTTGTTAAAGTTCCACGTGTTCTGCTTTGGTGGCCCAGGTTCACTAATTTGGATCCCAGGCATGGACCTGCTCCACTCATTAGCCACGCTGTGGAGGCATCCCGCATACAAAATGGAGGAAGATTGGCACGGATGTTAGCTCAGGGCTAATCTTCCTCAAGCAAAAAAAAAAAAAACAAGAGGAAGGTTGGCAGTGGATATTAACTCAGGGTAAATCTTCCTCACCAAAAAACAAATGAAAAACAAAAAAAGCTTCTGAAATAATGAACAGATGAAGTATTTTCTTTTGTTCAGATTTAGCTTGTGGTCTAAGGAAAATACCTTAAAGGAGAATAGTCAGAAGAATTAGAATCGGAGTTAGAGATGGGCACAAGTCTTATCTCTGGAATTGATCTTTAGCTTTGAACAGCTCACTTTGTTTTATGGGAGAAGTTAGAGAGTTAAAATACCGTGTGATGATTCTGTGTCTGGGTCCAAATTAACTTGTTACTGTTTTGAAGGTTGTAAAGCACCAAGAAAACATTTTCATTTGACATCTGTCCTTCTGCTTGGTCAATATCTACAGCATATTTCCATTTAGGTAATTAAATTAGAAAGCATGGACAGGAAGTTCAACTTCAGTCTCCTCTTCCATCACCACTTTCAGTCCTACTCCAAATGCCAATTCAGGAAGACATCTTTCTCCTTTGTTGTGTATTCACCCTTGTAGCATTCTGTAGATTTGAGTCTTGCCTTCAACATTGGCTTAGCCTTGGTTCATTCCTCCAAGAAAGACTTTTTTTTATTTGTTCATTTATTCAATCATTTACTCCTTCAACCAATATTTATTGAGTGCCAGCCATATTTCAGGTACTTTGTCAGGTACTGGGGATATTATAGTGAACAAGGTTGATAAAGTTCCTGCCCTTATGTAGCTTACTGTCTAGTAGGAGAAGTCAGACATTAAACAAAGAATAATATAAATAACTTAGTTAATTGTAGTGGTGATGAGTCCTGTGAAGGAAAAATACAAGGAGCGTTGAAACTTAATAACAAGCGGTATTAGTTTAGGGGTCAGAAAGGCTCCCCTGTGGAAGTGACACTTAAGCTGAAACCTGAAGGATGGATGGGGGAGATATGGGCAGAGGAGTTGGGAGGGAGATGAGCGGGAAGAGCTCGCAGGCAGTGGGAGGAGCGAATGCCAAGGCCCTGTGAAGAGGAGAATGGTGCTGGTATGGTAATCCAGCCCGGCTGGTGTGAATGGAACGTAGGAGTGAGGAAGAGAGCAGCAAGAGACCAAGCCGGAGAAGTAAGCAGGAGTCAGGTCACAGACTATGTTAAGGATTTTGGACTATTCTGAGAGCAATGAGAAGTCATAAAAGGGTATAATCTAACATGCGTTTTAAAAAATTCAGTCTTAAACATAGTCAAGTGATTGAAAAGGAGCAGGAAAACATTGATGAAGTCTAGTTATGTATCTATTACTGTATTCCAGACAGGAAGTGATTGTGACTTGGATTATCAGTGTGGTATTAATGCGGAGGGTAGAATGTCAATTTTATGAGAGCTATTTAGGGGTAGAATGAGTAGGGTTTGGTGATTGTTTGGCTGTGGGTGGTGATGAGGTAGAGGGAAGTGTCAGACATGAATCCCTGATTTTTGCTTTAAGAAACTTGGTGGTACCATTTCCTGAGATAAGGAACACTGGAAGAGGATCCTGTTTGAAGGGGGCTGAATTCTGTTAGTTCTCGTTGAAGTTCAGGTGCTCGTGAAACACTGAGTGGAGATGTGAAGTAGGCAGTTAAATACGTGGACTGCAGCTTGAAGCTGAGGTCTGCTCTAGAAGTATGCATTTGGGAGTCTCTGCTGTAAATATGATCAAAGCCATGAGAATGGATGAGTCATTGCCTAGAAAGTATGTGCAGGAAGAAGGTCCGTGTACCCAAGGCAATTCCTGAGTGAAGCTAACATTTAAAAATAGATCGGACAATGATGAGTCTGAGAAGACACAGCCACCCAAGTGGAAGAAAAACTGGTGGAGTGTCGTATCACAATATTCCTCTTTGTTTCATTTATGTACATACTGTTATTTCTGAAGTCTTGTTCTGTTGCTTCATTTTATTATTTTTTTGAGTCACCAAGTCTACTATTCTCCTAATGATAGTTGTAAAGGAAGCACCTTAATGTTAACAGATTGGGCTGCCTTTACATGTTTGGTGAAGTATCCCCATGCCCTCCTATGTTGCCTGATAGATGGTAGACAATAGTCAGGTATTTCTAAATCAGATGCAAAGCACACACCTTTTCCTGTAGCTTTTCTAGCTATTTCATTGTACCTGAATATAGCCTTAAAGGAAAATCTGTGGTAATCCATGGTTTAACTGAGCTAAGAATTCAGTAGGGAGGTTAGACGAGAGTGGGCACATTTCTGCTGGTCTCCCACATCCTCACGGAGGCAGAGGACCCTTGGATTTGAGACGTTGATTTATTAAATTATAAACTTCAAGTGGGTAGAAACTATGTTTGGTTTACCACTGTATGCCCAGAGCTGCTCATAGTATACAGCGTGCAGTAGACACTCAATTAATATTTGTTGAACGAATGATTACACTTCTGTGGCTTGACCTCAGTTTATTTGGACAACTTAATAAAATAGTAGTGATTGTTAATGTTAGAGGTTGTAGAGAGGCAAGTGTTCTTATACATCTAGGGGACTTGAATCACATTAATCACATCTGCAGAGACTCTTTTTCCAAATGACGTTAACATTCACTGGTTCCAAGGATGTGATGTGGATATCTTTGTGGGGGGGCCAGTCTACCACACCTATGTTCAAGCTATTCTTTGCAAACCAGCCTGGGTTTGAAATAACTTGACCTTGTCACTCCTTGTTACTCTCAGTGTAAACTGCAAAATTCGACACGGCTCTTTAGAACTTGGTTCCTTATTTTTCCACCCTCATCGCTTGCAACACCATGACCATACTCTGTCTTTCAACCATTCTAAAAAACTCTTTTTGGGCTGGCCTGGTGGCAAAGTGGTTAAGTTTGTGCACTCTGCTTTAGTGGCCCAGGGTTTGCGGGTTTGGATCCCAGCTGCAGACTTACACACCACTCATCAAGCTGTGGTAGTATCCTACATACAAAATAGGGGAAGACTGGCACAGATGTTACCTCAGCAACAATCTTCCTCAAGCAATAAGAGGAAGATTGGCAACAGATATTCGCTCAGGGCCAATCTTCCTCACCAAAAAAAAAAAAGACAAAATGATTTTTTGTAGTTTTTGTTAGTTTCTATTTCCTCTCTTTCTTGCTTCTTGACCTTTCTTTGTACGTTCTGTCTCTTTGGCAGGAACATGCACATTTCCTTTGCCTGTCTAACAGCTATTTCAGATGTTAGCTCAGGCATCCAGATCTTTCATGAACCCTTCCTGGATCACAAAATCCAGATCAGGTACACTGATGAGGTATGCAATACCTCTTATTAATTGTATTGTAATTGCCCTGTTTCCAGTCCTAATTTCATAGTTCCTGGTTGACTGTAAGTACTGTGACGGCAGGGGCTGTTATATCATATCCCCCAAACGTAGCACAGTCCCTGGTACAGGGTAAATATTCGTTGAACAAATAAAGAACAGAGGAAAGGAAGATGGATTGGGGTTCTAGCTGTCAAAATTTGAAGTTTGGAGTTGGTTTATGTTTTTGAATAGGTAAAGAGATTGAGCTCAATCTTTTTCTCGTTCAGGCTTATGGGATAAAGACACAAAGGTCTGCTGCTCTCTCGCCAGCATTCTTGCCTACAACCCTTTCTGCTTTGGATGAGGCCCTGCATGGTGGCGTAGCTTGTGGATCCCTCACAGAGGTAAAGGAGAAACTTCCTAAACCTTCTTCTATTGACCTATAACCTTCAGAGCAAGGGGAAAAACTTTAGTTAAAATGCATAAATTATTTCATGAATATTAATCTGCATTAAATGGTAAGTTCCTCAAGGGCATGGTTCTCCACTCAGTACCTAGCACAGTTGTTTGGAGGTTTTGACTGAAGTCTGCTTAGGTTGTTGTTTCTTCAAATTAGAAAGTGATGAATATTATGAAATGATATGAAACAATCTGAGGGAATTCAAAAAGGATCACTACTTAGGAAGGAAAATTTGAAATTTTATTAACGTGGGCAAATTATAGTATTAGACTGAAGTGAGCAATTTTTACTTCCTGCTGAAGATAAAATTTGGTTCTATGGAGTAAATAGGTTGTTGTATTAGTTCTGTGTTGTTGCATAACAAATTTCTCCAAAACTAAGTGGCTTAAAACAGCAGTAAAGGTTCATTTCTGTTTCTTTGGCGGTGGCTTGGCTCAGCAATATTGACAAGGGACACAGGATCTGAAGATTTGGTGGGACTGGAGGCCATTTTCAAGGCTGCTCGCTCACGTGGCTGGCAAGCTGGTGCTGGTTATTGGCAGGAGGTCACAGCTCCTCCCCAGACAGGCTCTCCAGAGCCTGCTGGAGTCTCCTCAAGCACAACGTGGCTGCCATCCCCCAGGGGAGGGACCCACAGGAAGGCAAGATGGAAGGGGCAATGCCTTTGATGATTTAGCTGTGGAAGGCGCACCGTGACTTCCGCCACATTCCCTTCATTAGAGGCGAGTCATTAAATCTAGCCCGCATTCAAGGAAAGGGAAATTAGACTCTCCCCTTTGAGAGAAGTGTCAATGGGTAGACATTTTAAAAGCACCCCAGGTCTTTTCCTTGAAACCTCCGTTGGTGTGCTTCTGGTCCTGATGTGGTGACTCAGTAGACTGTGTTTGCGAGCACTCTCCTGAGGGACTTCTTGCCTGAGAGTTCTAGGGGCGTAGATACTTTAAGCAAACTTCTGAATAAGAGTAGATTCTTACATTGATGGTTATAAATTTAACTGTAGATTTTTTTCCTTGAAGATAAGGAACCTGTTTTAGATACTATACCTTACTTCTTGTATTCCAAGAAAGATTTAAAAATATGTGTGTGTGCTGTGTCTAGGAGATGCCTATTAGGTAGTTGATAAGTGAATGAATGAGTTAATCTTAAAAAAAAAAAAAAAATTAGAACCTGCTGTTGCAGTGTACTGCCACCAGATGGTGCCAGAATCCTATTTTGCATTATCTTCTTGTGCTCTATTTGGTTCAACTTTGCTCAAATAGATTTATAACAATAGAGATCCAGAGTTATAAACTTAACCTATTTAAATAGCAAAAAAATTGAACTTAAGGAAGATTAACCAACAAGTACTTTTTGTTTTTTAAGTTTTAGAATAATTTTCAATACTTTTCATTTAGCTTTTATCAATTCTTTCTGAATCCAAGCAGTAGTTACAAGCCATTTAGGTGTTCTGTCATGATTTACTTGGCTAACTTGGAATATAAATACCCTGACTGCTTATTAGTGGCAAGTTCTCAGCTTTCAATTTCAGCTACAGGTACAGTCTTTTTGGGATTTCTTGGCTGAGTACAGGGAGTATTTCTGATTACCTTTTATTAAACACCGAACTTTTGATATATATTTTAAGTATACAAGATTAAGTATATTTTGCATGTATAAGTTATGAGCTCTTATAAGCCTATGACCCAATATAAGAACCAGAACAATAACAAAACCATTGAAACTAACTGTGGGCTCCTCCCTGATCCTATCTTTGGCCTTCTGTTGGGAGGTAACCTCCATCCTGAATTTCTGCTATTCCTCTACTTTTTTTCCTGATAGTAATTTGCACCTATAGTTTTCCTTTATTGCCTATATACATAGAAAATACAACATTTTATTTAGTTTTGCTTACTTTTGAGTTCTATTAAATCATGTATCTGTGATTAAATCATATCTTATCTCTTCTATGAATTGTTTTTTTACTTAATACTGTTTTCTAAGATTTATCTATGTTGTTGTGCATAGCAAGAATATAATTCACTTTCACTGCTGTATCATATTCTATTTTGAAAATATGCTGCAATTTATTCATCCCTTCTCCTGTGAGTGAACATTTGGGTTGTTTCCAGTTTGCTGCTAATGTCAACAAATCCTGTGAAATGATTGTCCCTGTCTGCTGGCTCACGTGTACAGGTATTTCTCTAGGGCAAGGATTGGCAAACTGCCCAGTGAAATGCAGCTTGCTGCCTGTATTTGTAAATAAAGTTTTGTTGTAACACAGCTAACCTCATTTGCTTACATTTTGTCTGTGGCTGTTGTCGTAATATAAGGCAGAGTTCAGTTAGTTGTGACAGAGACCTCAGGGTCTGCAAAGCCTAAAATATTTAGTATCTGGCCCCTATCTAGGGTGTCTACTTTGGAGTGATTTGCTGGTTATAGAGTATGCACATACGTAACTTTGCAGAATCAGGACGAATGGTTTCCTGAGGGGTTGTGCCTGTTTACATTCCTGTGGGCTGGGCATGAATTCCTCTTGTTTCTTATGTTCTTGCCTTGCTATTATCAGACTTCTTAATTTTTCCCCATTTTTATGATCTTAATTTTCATTTTTCTGATTACTAATGAGCTTGCATTCTTTTCATAAATCATTTTGCTATTTAAAAAAATAATTTTATTAAGGTACAATTTAAATACTATAAAATTCAACCATTGTAAATGTATAATTCAATTATATTAGTAAATTTATAGTAAATCATCACCAAAATTCAGTGTTAGAACATTTCCATCATCCTAAAAAGTTCCCTCATACCCATTTATAGTTAATCCCTGCTCCCATGCTCAGCCCTAGGTACCCACTGATTTACTTTCTGTCTCTATAAATTTGCATTTTTATAAACATTTCATATAAATGGAATCATATAGAGGCCAGTCCAGTGGCGCAGCAGTTAAGTTCCCATGTTCCACTTCAGTGGCCTGGGGTTCGCCGGTTTGGATCCCGGGTGAGGACCAACACACCCCTCATCAAGCCATGCTGTGGCAGGCATCCCACATATAAACTAGAGGAAGATGGGGCATGGATGTTAGCTCAGGGCCAGTCTTCCTCAGCAAAAAAGAGGAGGGTGGGTGGCAGATGTTAGCTCAGGGCTAATCTTCCTAAAAAAAAAAAAAAAATTAAAAATAATCATGTGAGCCCTTAAAAGCAGTATGCTTTCTCTGGCTAAAGAAGAAGGGGAAGCCAGAAAGATTCAAAACATGAGGAGGACTCGAGATGCCATTACTGCTTGGAAGATGGAAGGGGCTGTGTGAGAAAGAATGTAGGTGGCCCCTAGGAACAGTGAGTAGCCCTCAGATGACAGACAGAAAGGAAACAGGGAGCTCAGAGCCACAACTGCAGAGAAGTGGATTTTGCCAACAACATGAATGAGCCTGGAAGTTGATATTAACCCCCAGCCTCCAGATAGGAGCCCAGCTTAGCCGACACTTGATTTTGGCCTTGTGAGACCTTGCGCAGAGAACCCAGTCAAGCCCAGCAGGACTGCCGACCTACAGAACTGTGAGATAATAAACGGGTGTTGTGTTAGGCTGCTAAATTTGTGGTAATTTGTTACACAGCAAAAGAGAACTAGTACAGATATCAACGGAGTTGTCTAATTGCCTTGCACGATCTTTGTTTCTGGCTTGAAGTTCAAACCTAGAGTCCTGAATGTGAGGTACAAGTTAGGTCTGGTGGAGGTGAGCAGTAAGGCAACTGGTTGAGTAAACTTAGACTAGGTCTGGAGATGACTGAGGGAGTAAGGAGAAATCTGGAAACATTTCTGCTGTCATTTTTATAGCTGCTTCTTCCTGACTCTAACTTCAAAATCCCCTAATCCATTTGTCATGCGTTTTGATTTATGTGAACTTCACTGAATCTGTGTAACTGAGTGGTTACAGCACCAAGATTAAAAGTGGAACTAGAGAAGTGCTACTCATGCCGAAAGCAGAAGCAACAGAGGAGAAATCAAAGAGAAACCAAGTCTGCTGAATCACCAATGGGAGGGACCTGCAGGGCTTTGTCCCATTCCTTGAGAACATCAAATTCCTTACGGAATACAGAAGCAGAGAATCCTGCGTCTGTTAGAACTGAATATTGGTAGTAAAGATATGTTTGAAGTTTAAACTTTAAAAGTTTACATTACATGGAGAGCAAACCACGTAATGGTAGCCTTCTCATATGAGATAATATAGATCAGATCAGAGTTTCTCAATCCTTTTTTCATTATTGCCCCCTCAGGAGCCTTTTTAGACAATTTTTTCCTAGTCAGCCCCCCCATGAGGTTTTAATACCACAGATATTCTGTATATCTGTTTATGTACTGTAGGTATATCTGTGCTTTATACATAAAAAGAGTGAAATTCCTCCCCTCCCCCATCAAAGCCCAGCTTCAGCCTTGGGGTCAATATCGCTCCTGCTGAGAATGCATGATAAAGCTGCTAATGTGACTGGGTAAAATTAAGATTGTATTTAAAGGGATCATCAAAAAAGATATTTTCATGTTGTAATCTAGAGATTATGGGACTAGAGAACTGGTCCAAACTCATGTCAACAAAAAGAGATGTAACATCTGCATATCTCAGTTCAAGAGAACCTCTGGAAGAGTAACCCTGTCTTCTGAAGCACTGCCAAATCTTTGCGACGTTTAACAGTGATGGTTATACCTAGATTCTGCTCTAAATGATAAGAAACAATGTGGCACATTTCTAAATTATTTGTATTTCCTGACTCATTTCTATGATTTGTTCATGATTTAAGGAGACTAGGTGTCCTTCTTGAGTGGGGCAGTTTTGCTTTGGGAGTGACTATCCTACTGTCCCCAAAAGGTAAAGGCAGGCTACCAGAATCCTAGTTTGGCAGAACAGTTAAATATTTCAGTTGTTTTTCTTTCTCATGGCAGGGTTAGCTGTGACCTACAAGATCACAGGAGA